GGAGTTCAGTTTTGGTAATTAACTATTATGTTCCATCCTTGAACAATTTGATATCCTTTTCCCCAAACTACTTTTCACTCCCTGGCATGACTTTAGCTTTCTGTTTACTCATTTCCTTGATGCCCCACTGTCCAGTTTAATTGAGACCTACAACCCCTTGCTCATCCTTATCTCCTCCCTCAGCTCCCTATTGGCTTTACTTCCTTCTTTAATCCAATCTGGGGCTCATGGTTCATTACTTGAGCTCTCTTTCCTTCTTATCCTTCTGTCCTTCTTCCTTAAGGTTGGCTCTATCCAGACTTCCCATGCCTGGTTCTGTGCAGTCATGTGGACTGATGCTGCTCCTCTGAACCTAGTCTCTGTAGTCTCCAACCTCAGCTGAGCATTTATTGCTAACTACTAGGCCTTGTGTGTGTCTCTCCTGGGCTTGTAGAGTTTTTCCACAATAAATGTTTCCAATTACCTCTACTTTTTTTAATCCACTAATTTATATTACAAATTTACAAGTTTACAGTCAGTGGATTCTAAATCTTAATGTAAAGTCAAAGTTTAAAGGCATCGTGTTCAATGTATATGCATTTAAGGAAGGACAGAATGGCCTAAAAGATTGCTGAGATCATCACCAGAGCAGGAGAGCCTCAGCAGGGTGTGGGTTGATCCAGAATCCTCAAACACACCCATGTGCAAAGGCCTCTGTGGTTGCTCCAGACCCCTTCTGGTTGCTCCAGACCATCGGGTTGCTCCAGCCTTCAGGAGGAAACAGGTGGTTTGGTGAGTCCACCCCACTTGATTCTTTCAGTATAATAGGCTCAAAATAACTGCTAATGGAAGCTAGTCAGGCCATCCCAACTGGAAGACAACTCAGAGACAGGCAAATGAGACTGTAAACTGCATTAGGTTGAGTATCGTGTTTGTTTTTAGCCACTGTATTCCCAGCACATTAAACAGTAAAATTTAGTAAATATTTGATAAGTGAATAAATGTAATAACTCTGGGGGGAAAAAGTACATGCATTTAAAAAGAGACTCAGAGTTTGGCCTATAAAATGATATTGAAATAAAAGAAGTTTATAAGGCTTAGGCTATATAGATTATTTGTGAAAAGTATTATTTATGATTTAATGTATTATTTGGGATGACAGAGCATCCAAAATATTTCATATTCTACCTTTCTGCTCTTGGAGGCACACTCTCTCTCTTCTGTTTTCCACAAGGCTATGAGAACTTCAGCCTTTATTTTCATAATTTAGTCACACAGTTTCTCTTGAAAAGAATAATATAAATTATATTAAAGAGGGAAAGCAGTGTATTTCAGTTAAAATTTTTGGTTGAAAGCAATTGGATGACTATGATTAGCAGAAAAGAAATGTATTAAAAGGAGGTTGGGAAGAACTTTACAGTTCAGTTTTAAAAAGACAAATAATTTAAGAATTGGGCAAAGTATCTGAATTGACATTTCTCCAAGGATGTGTACTGTCCAGTAATGACCAGTAAACACAGGAAAACATGCTCAGCATCCTAAGCCATTAAGAAAATGCAAATCACAAGCTCAGTGAGATACCACTTCACACCCACTAGGATAGCTAGAATTAAAAAGCCTGGGTAACTGGTGCCCATTAAGTGTAGAGAAATCAGCCCCTGGTGCACTGCTATTGAGAGGCAAAAGATTCACTACTTGTTTTTCTTCAACTTATATTGAACTACAACCCAAATTCCTATAGACTTACCTTAAATTCCAGGCAAATTCATTTGATAATAAAAAGATTGAGATTATAGGTTTGATTTCCATTCCTTTTTTTTATAATCAGTTACTTTCTCTTCTCAGCAGCCTCACAGTTTTTTTCTCTGATATGGAAGAAAATCAGGTGTAAGAAACTACGGATTATTTATTATAAAATTATCCTAATCTTGGGAGAGGAGAAGGGAAAATTCAGATTATACACTTTGCTATTGTGGGATTACTCTTCAATAATATGCTAATGTATCTATGTGTAAGTCTTAAGGTGACTGGGTAAGTTTTATCACTGAAATTGATAATTTTAAGTTCAATTTGTAAAACCTTATGGAATATTAAAAGGCAGTTAACATAGTTCATAACTAATAATAATTAATATCAACAGTTCAAATGCTTTGGGATGAATTTCTGAGTGTAATAACATGTTTAAAATTATGGATTGTGAGTTTGAGTTTCCTGAGAATTCAGTTATACTTTCTTCTCAGTTCTCTTTAATTGACCATTTGATGGTTTTAAACTTTGACAAATTGTCCTTTCAAAAAAGTAATTTTAAAACCTGACTCCATCCAGGTGTGGTAGCATACGCCTGTAATCCCAGCAGCTCAGGAGGATTGGAAGTTCAAAGTCAGCCTCAGCAATTTAGTGAGACCCTAAACATAAAAAAGGCTGGTGATGTGGCTCAGTGGTTAAGTGCCCCTGGGTTCAATCCCCAGTACCCAAACAAAAACCTGACTCCAGAGGGTTTTGAATGCAATTCAAGATTATAATGTGTTGTTTTGATAAAACATGGAAATAAACACAACTCTAATAATTAACAAAACTTCATTCTAGTCTATTCTAGACTCCAGGAGGTCCATATTTAATCAGTTAAAAGTGTAATTTATTATTAAGATAAATTATTTGACATTAAAACTAAACACTCATCTTTTAACCCACAATATAGTGGCACCAGATGGCTATACTAACAGTTAGAATCTCTAGTTCTCCACTTAACTTGCCATAGTACTTTGGAAAAGTTACCTGGCTCTTCAGCTAGTTCATTTGAAAAACAGGAATTTGTTGATTTTTTAAAAAATTTTATTTTGACAGGATGTTTCAGACTAATTTGTATTTAAATCACCTATACTCTGGAATCAATCATTTCTCCAAGCATGCTAATTTATATTTTATGTAGAGAAAGGACTTTCCAAAATAAAATTGACAGATGGAACTGAGGTGTTCCTTTAAAAATGTTAGAAATGCTTTAAGGTTAATTCATTTTCTTCCTCTGTGTGCATGAGTGTGGGTACTTCCAATATAAATAAAGTTCAAATTCAGTTCACATTTCAAAAACAAGGTCAAAATAAGCGATACAGACAATCAAATGTTATTGATGTTCAGAGATGGGATAGAAACCTGGAAATTGAAGAGAAATTTGAAAAAAGTGTAAGCTTTGAATAAATAGGAACAGGGAAGACATCTTTCTGGGGTTCAATGCAAACAAATGTGTGGTGCTAGGAATAAGCGTGTCATATTAAGGAATTTTGAGGCACTTGACTAGTTAGCAGAAATAATAATGTTGGTAATTAGCAGATGGATGGGGTTTATTTTATTGGAAGCCTGGATTTTAGGCTGACTCATTTAGAATTTATCCTACAGACAATGAAGTGTACTTAAGTTTTGAAGCTAGGTAATCAGAATATGTTTTAGGAAATTTAGTATAATGTCATATTGCAGAATAGGTTGTAATACAGAGGACAACTTAGGAAACTATTAAATTAGTTAGGTCTGAGGCATTGTGAATATAAACAAAGGAGTTGATAGAAAACTAATTTAGAATGAAAAAGTGACTTTATGTTTAATCAGGATCACTGGGAGAGTAAAGAACTGAAAGAAATAGGAAACTGATGATTTCTTCATAATAGAAATTCAAAGGAAAAACAAGCTTGATGATAATGATTTGTGTGTGTGTGTGTGTATATATGTATGTGTATGTGCATGCACATGCACGCTGGGTATTATTGAACCCAGTGCCTCTCACACAGTATGTATGAGCTCTATTCCCATCTTCTGTCAATATTGGAAATTTAACTTCTTTTTCTGTAATAGGTAAAACATAGTTGAAAATTAGTGACTTGAGACAGAAAATATCAAAATTATTAGGCTTAATAATGCTTTCTGAATTTCTTAACACTATTAAGAAGTAGATATTTAGGGCCTTGCTTATTGGCACCTTCTGTAACCCAGCAGCTTGGGAGGCTGAGGCAGAAGGATCACAAGCTTGAGGTCAGCCTCAGCAAGGTCTTTTCAAGACCCTGACTGAAAATAGAAATTAGAAAGGACTGGGGATGTAGCTCAGTAACAGACAGACCCTGGGTTCAATCCCTAGAACCACATAGAAGAAAACACAAAGAGGGGCAAGAGAAGGAAGGAAGAAAGGAAGGAAAGAAGGGAGGAAGGGTTTTTATAGTTTAAGATTTGTAGCAAGGTAGGGAGTTGTTTCTTTAGGATGTTTAACACATTACCAGTCTTATCAGATCTCTGGATCAGGATCCAGATTTCTGATGGATTTGAAATGCATGACTCCTCTGGCATTTGAGGATGTGACATTTGTTTTCAAGTGTTGCATTAGATTCTTTTGCCATTATTGAAATTCTCATTTCTATTCCGCTCTTAATGTGCATATATATAATTATATATAGTTGAAATTATATATATACATAATTTCAAACTTCTCAACTTTGTCTAAAAAATAATAAAAACATTAAAAACTAAGAACTTAGCTGTGCACAATTTAACATGATCAAATACCATGACTAATGCCAAGATAAAGATAGAAGGTACCTAAATTCAAACATCCAACAAAAAATGAGTGAAAATGAGTATTTCTGTATATGGTTTTTGCCATTTCATTAACTTAAACATGTCTCAATCTTAATCAGGCTATCCTTCTTTGTGGATAAAGCAAGAAAATGACACAGGTTCAGCCCTAGTTGCTATTTCTTTAGGTTTTCTGAACTGTCTTTGAGTCCTAGAGAATGTGTCTTAGAAGAAATCTCATTCTATCCATAAGTTTGTTCATTTGTTTGTTAGTAGGTGAATGTTCAGGCTTCCTAATTAAAATCTGTTGAAAGAAATTATTACATGAAGTAATGTATTAACCATATAATGTGTGGGGAGAGTGCTGGATGACTGTCATAATTTTCTGCTGGGACAGTTTATAAAAAGGAAAAGAAAGTCAGTCCTTTTTGTTGGGAAAGAAGATTTCATGTTATCTGTATTTGCAGGCTTTCTGGCTCATATGCTGGAGGAATCCTTGCTGCGGGGGTGTTTTCATTTTCTCGTCTAACATGGCAGTGGTCCATCACAGCAGAGGTTTTTAGCTTAAACAATCTGTTTGTGGGGCTGCTTATGGCTCTTACTGTACATTTTGAGGAGGCAGCAACTGCAAAGGAGAGATCAAAGGTAACCTATTTGGATCAAAGTGAAATCATTTTTTTTTGTTTTAATTTTTGGACAGATAGCTGCATTTCTTTTTAACTTTGGTTTAGATGCTGTTTATCTATTATGGTTACTGTCAAGGTAATCTAGGCATGTTGAGAGAGAAAATATTCTCAGTCCTTTTATTGTGAATGGAAGTATGATAGCCCTCATGAAACATGGGACTTTTCCCCCTCAGACTTCAGAAGTGGTTTGGAGAATGAAGGGGTTATGAAATCCCTGTGAGTGCTTTGGGAAAGGCAAGTTTGTTGGTTCATGCACCAACACTTGCTTGTTGATTACCATAAGGTGCCAAGCTTTGGATTGACCTTACATCATATACCATTATGGTATATTAATTTACTCTTTTATTGTGAAAATGATCAAATTTGTAATTTTCTAATTAAGAGTGTCAAGTGTAAAAGCAGAGTAGTTCAAAAGAGATTGCAGTGAATTTAAGACAGATACTAGGATCAAACTCATTCTAAGTGTGAAAGAACCCTGCCTTCAAAAGCTTACTGTCTGTTCATTGCAGAAAATACTATATTGCCTTTGTATAAGCAGCTTTGTGTTGTGAAAGGATATAGAAACAAAAAGACTTCATTATTTACCTGTGGTTCCCATAAGTAGATCTGTGATGCTATTGTTTTATTTTATTTTTCTAATTGTGTTAAAGAAAAAGTATTCAGTATATTTGTTAAAGAAACATAAACAGATTTTATTCAGGTTCAGAGGTAGGGAACACTTCAGTAGGGTTTTGTAATAGGGGAGAGAGATCAGGCTCAAGTCCAAATAACAATGAATAATGAGAATTTGTATCCAAGGAGCAGGCTGGGTGTCAGTGGACGGAAAAATTACTGAGAGGAAACATCAGGGGTAAAGGAGGATTCAGACTAAATTGGCCAAATGGGATTCTTGCTGAAGGCAGGCCAGGCTGATCTGACATCACCTGGGGGAGGGTGAAGGATAGAAATTGGATCAGTGTGATCAAATATCCAGGGTAGAGATTTCTAGTTAAACTGACTGAGTATTCTTGATAAAATTGGACAATGCAGAGATGAACACAGTATCTAAAAGCCAGGGCTGAGTTGAGAAGAGAGTTCAGAGGAGCTTGCCTAGAGTTTGGTCAGGAAGAAAATCCTTGTGGGCTGGGGATATAGCTTAGTTGGTAGAGTACTTTCCTAGCATGTATAAAGCCCTGGGTTCAATCACCAGCATCACAGAAAATAAATAAATAAAAATTTAAAAGAAGAGGAGAATACTTATCAAATATGAAATGAGTAAATGAATACATGTTCAAAAAAAGCAAAAATACCACCCAGATATAAATAGGTTTCTAAATAAAAGATGTTACATTTTATTTATTTAGAAGGAGAAAAAGTAAAACAGAATTATTGGACTTCAATTATAGATTTTACTCAAGTAAGAATCATATAGTAGTCTGTTAAGATTCACTAGTTGTAGTACAGGAGTCTCCAAGAGTCAGTTTGAAGATAGTCATTTAAGATCAAACTGCAGTTGTTTGATGTGAATGAACAACATTAACAAAAAGTAATGATGATAGGGGCTGGGGTTGTAGCTCAGTGGTAGAGAGCTTGTCTTGTACGTGTGAGGCACTGGGTTCAATCTTCAGTACCACATAAAAATAAATAAATAAAATAAAGATATTGTCTGTTTACAACTAAAAAAATTTTAAAAATGATGATAAATACTAGTGACTGTTATAATTGCTTACATCTAACAGATTGATATTAACCTGGCCTATGATGTTTGGTTTAGTGGTAAGAATGGCTTTTTACCATTGTGCTTACTTAGAGTTTTAGGTGAATTTTTAACTTAGGTGTTTTTGTTTCTTTCTTTCTTTTTTTTTTTTTTTCCTGTTTGTTTTCAGATAGCTAAAATCGGTGCTTTCTGCTGTGGCCTTAGCTTATGTAATCAGCACACAATAGTCCTCTATGTTTTATGCATAATACCTTGGATTCTCTTTCGACTTTTAAAAGAGAAGGTAGGTTTTGTAATTTATAAAAATAAAATTAATAACATTTTGTTTAGATTCAATATAGCATTTGTTTCATCAGAAAACTTGGGGCTTTAATTTTTCTTGGGTTTTGTGTAAAGCATAAATAACCTTAAGCCCTAACAATATTGACTGGAAAAAAAAGGATTTACAAAAATAATGTAATATTGATTGCAGTGGCATCTGGCCTATTTCATAATTTTCTTCATGATTCTGAAAATAGGTTAAAAGGACTTTAAAGCAATAATACTAATTTTCCTTAATAGTTTTATTATACATTCTAGGACACAGAGTGGTATAGTAGTCATTCATTCATATTTAACTGTTTGTTGAGTGCTTGCTCTATGCTGTATCCTTGCTCTAAGTGTGGAGATTTAGCTCTCAACAAACAGACAATATCCCTGTAGTATGAACTCATTAAAATCTCTGATAAATAACAGTCCTATTTTCTCAGGATATTTCTCTAGAATTAAAAAAAATGATTTATTTTTATTTCATCTTTCTATGAAAGAAAACTTTTTTGTTAATTAAAATGGCAGTAAATAGCAATATAGGAAAATTACTTTGTTGGGCAATAGGAGATTTAGGTAAGGAAAAGGCAGGGAGTCGAGTTAGACATGAACTCTTGAAAGAATAAATGTCCTTTATCAGTCAGACTTTCTTTTAGTCTATATGCAAAGCCAGTGCCAGCTAGGTCATTTTACTTTATTTAGTTTTTGTTTGTTTGTTTATGAACAAATTCAGCTACGTTTGTCATTTTATTATTTGCTCATTATAACAATTATAATCAGAATTATAATAGAAAACATACAAGTAATAAAATTATTATATAGTAATAGGTAAACAATTATACTAGAGCTTTAGATAATTATATTAACTATTCTTGAACACATTTAGTTTCTTAGCATCTTGGCAACAAAGCAAAAAGGTAATGTGGAAATTATAAAATTCTGATTATGTGATTAAAAAGCAAATAAAAGGGAAACAGGAAAAAACAGTTGACAGGAAAGAGCAACTTTTCTTGGACTCGAATTCTATGAAGTCAATCATTTCAGTCTCACATTTCAGTCATAACAGTTAGCAGTATCCAAATTTCATAGAATATTCAGAAAGTTCTTCATGTGACCTTTTATAATACATATCCTTGATTTTTTAAAAATTAAATTTATTTATAAAATTAATGTATTTTAATTAGGTATATATAACAGCAGAATGCATTTTGATTAATTGTACACAATTGCAGCACAACTTTTTGTTTCTCTGGTTATACATGATGTAGTGTACACCATATGTGCTGTCATACATGTACCTAGGGTAATGATGTCCATCTCATTACACCATCTTTCGCACCCCCATACCCCCTCCCCTCTCCTCCCTCCCCTTTGCCCCATCAAAATTCCTCCATATTTTCCATGCCTCCCCGCCCTGCCCATTATGGATCAGCATCCACTTATCAGAGACCATTCCGCCTTTGGTTTTTTGGGATTGGCTTACTTTGCTTAGCATGATATTCTCCAGTGCTATCCCTTTACTTGCAAATGCCATGATTTTATTCTCTTTTAGCGCTGAGTAATATTCCATTGTGTATATATATCACAGTTCCTTTATCCATTCATCTATTATAAAGCATCTAGGTTGCTGCCACAGTTTAACTATTGTGAATTTAGCTGCTACAAATATTGATGTGGCCGTGTTACTATAGTATGCTGATTTTAAGTCCTTTGGGTACATACCCTTAATTTTTAAAAAATGGGTATATAACATTAAAAAGTATAACTCAGCCAAAATTTCCTATGGAATACAAAACTGAGGAAGCCCAAATATTTTTCTCAATGGATGCACAGTTGGGGGTCAACAGACAATATAGCCCTCTCTAAGCATAGCCCATTTGATATCAGTCATCTTAGCCAGAGATATAGCTTGACCTGAGCAGACCCAGGATAGGTGCATTCTCTGGAAAGGACCAAGAGTTGATTGAAAGGAGAGCCATGTACTTCATATAAAACTTGCAGGATTCGGAGTCGACAATTTAGGAGACTGGACTAAGGGCCTGTTTACCCTAGAATGAGGTGAGCTACTGATGAATGATGAAATTTGGAGAACCATGACTCTTTAACATACCTCTTCTTGTTCATTCATTTATGGTACTAGGGATTGAGCCCAGGGGTACTCTACCACTGAGCTATATCTCCAGCCCTTCTTATTTTATTTTTAGACAGGGTCTTGCTAAATTGCCTAGGATGGCCTTGAACATGCTATCTACCTGCCTCAGCCTCCCAAGTAGCCGAGATTACAGGTAGCTGCCTCTGCACCTGGCTCATTTCCATTCTTTAGGCTAGAAAATAAGGTCTATGAAGTGCAGGGGTTGTTGGATCTCACTTTAAGGGGATTTGAAACAGAGCAAGGATTCTTAAGTCAGTTGGTGTCAACCCTGACTGCTCATTTAGCTAGGAAGCTTTTAAAAAATGTGTGTGTGTGTGTGTGTGTGCACATACATACACACATATATAACAATGTAGTACAGATGTATGTGCATTTTTATATACATATATACATGTATATATGTGTATTTATCCTGAAACCTTATCCAAATTATTTTGTTATAATTGATCTGGGGTGGGGTCTAGACACTACCCAGATTATTTCAATGTGCAGCTAAGACTAAAAATTGCTCTCCAGACTATAATAGCTTTCATGTAATTGTTTCCTATTTATTCCTTATGCAAAAGGAAAATTCTGCAACAATTACATCTTACCATTCTAAATTCAACTTTATAATGTACAAAAAGTGCCAAAACATAAACATTTACTTTCCTTAAACCACTTTTAAGAATAGCAAAGCAAAGGCATAGTTGTTTGATTAGATATTTGTAAGTTTTTAAAAGCATCTCATTACTGCTATAGAAATCTCAAATGAAATCAGTACTATAATGAAAACACTTCATTTTCAATTAAGAATGTTTATTTGAAAATGCTAATACAAGCCAATTCCCTGTTCTGCTTCTGGTTAATGTGAACTTTCTTTCTTACATTCATTCTCAGAGATGAATTTCTCATTTTCGAAAAGGAAAAGTTAGCAATTTCTAGTTATGATGTTTGTAAGAGACCCCCTTCCCCAGTTAACCAATATTTTTAATCTTTCTGGCATACTTAAATTTATTCTTTTGGACTTAATCTTTATAAAACTTTGTTGATACTGTCTTTCATTATTGAAGTGTATAGATAAGAAATATATTTTCCCAAATAGGTATATGAGATAACAGTTTGCATATAACAACAAATTTCTTTTAGTATTCTATCCTAAATATAAATTGAGGAGGAAAAAAAGCATTTGGGTGAACCTGAAGATTATATAAGAGCTAATTTTATTTGTGTGAAAAATTTCCATGAAATGTTCAAGGCCCTTGTAGGAAGAATTTATTATCCATGTACAATCATAATAAAGTATATACTTGAAGTCAACTTCTAATGATGACCATGATGTAAATTGGTATAATACCAATTCAGTATTTTGAGCCTATTCAAAATCAGCCAAATAACACTTGATCACTTCTAAGTGGGTGATCTCAGCTGTGCAGTGTACATGTCATGACATGGTTTTAAGTGTAGAAGATACAATAAACATGATACTTATGAGTTTTGCTAATGTTATTTGTTTCACTCAGATTTCACCTGCCATGTAAAGGAGTTCAGGCTGATGCAATTTTCTAGTAATCCACAGTAATCAGAAGGTTTAACATAGTATTCTGTGGTGACTTAATATAAATTGAGAGATCAGCTCTGAGCAAACATATTTGATGTTTTCCTTGATGTGTTCTTGAAGTTCCAGGATGAATCGACTAAAATAAACACTGTTCAACAACACAATGTGCTTTAATGCAGGAGCTATCACTGGGCTTTTTGTTGAATTTGAGTCTGTGTTTCTCTGCTGGTTTGCTGCCCTATATCTACCTTCCCATCTCATCCTACCTCAATCATGCCCGCTGGACCTGGGGAGACCAGACAACACTGCGAGGATTTCTGACACATTTTCTCAGGGAAGAATATGGAACATTCAGCCTGGTAAACTTACATTTCAAGCCCTTGTGAGGAAACAGGTGGTTATATTCCATTGTTCAATCAACTTCATTGTTGATTGAAAGAGCAGTCAACGTTTATCAATGGCAGTAGATAGAATTTCCATTTTAGTTAGTAATATAACAAATTTGTCCCTTGGAATGTTAGAAAAAAAATCAGAATCACTTCATCCAACAGCAAGCTGTTGTATATCCCTAATATACTTTTCAGGATGATATGCATTAAAGGAAACCTATTGCCCACTGTTGAAGACTGCCTGCAGTCTTGGGTACCATTGTGAATAAAAATCTGTGAATAAAAATATTTGGAAAAACGTGAAGGAAAGGAAACTTAACAATTTTAATTCACCTTTATCAAAGCATTTCCTTTTTGAAGTAACATATTTGATTAACAGTGTTCATGTTAGTATTTATTTTTTAAGAAACATTTTTTTAATTGTAGATAGACACAATATATTATTTATTTTTATGTGATGCTGAGGATCAAACCCAGTGCCTCACACATGCAAGGCAAGTGCTCTACCATCGAGCCACAGCCCCAACCCTTAGTATTTACTTTTTAAAATTGAAGGCCTATTTATAAATGCTTTGTAAAATATTAGTTCACCAAATGGAAACAGTTCTCTCCAAAGAAATTCAAAAGGGTAAGGAAGGAGAGGCCTGTGAGGACTTTGTAAGATAAATTATGGTATTGATGAGGTTTTATTCATCAAATGAATGGTGAGTCTGTAGATTTTTTAAAAAATTCTTTGTCCCTAAAATATACATTATGTATACTTTTGTAGATAGATGTTAGATATTATATTTATTTTACATAGATATTTCATAATAAAATAGATTAGTAAAAGGTAATTGTTATTTATTATTTTCACTTCAAAGTGTGATACTTTATATTCTGATTTACTTATATTGGTTAATGCATTAAATACAGATTGATGGCTCTTCCATATTTGAAATTTCTATCATTCACACGTAATTGTGAAATTTTGAACAGGTTATAATAAACTTCAATCAAAATTCTCCAAAAGAGGACTAGGGATGTGACTCAGTGGTAGAGTGCTTTCCTGGCATGTGTGAGTCTCTGGGTTCAATCGCCAGCACTAAAAAAAAAAAAAAAATCCTCAAAAGAGCGTAAAGAGAGGCTATAACAAAAGTTTAAATAAGTCCACTAACTCATTAATGTATTAATCATTCCTGCTGATATTTCAGTGATTTTTAGCCAATTATTAATTTTTCCTAAACATATCCAAATTTAGTTTTCACTACATTCAAAATTTAACAGGCTCTGAAGTAAAGACTGTTGCATTGTATATTTAAAACATGATATTATATTATAATGAATCAAAATCATTATAACATAATAACCTGCCAAGGCCTCAATTTAATATATGTACAAATAACCTTTTCTTTTTTGTGTTTAGGCCAAATCTGAAATAGGATCCAGTATGTCTGAAATACTGGTGTAAGTATAAATATTTAAAACCATTTGTAAATGAATTTGCTATTTGTTTTTCAAGATGATTTTTAGGGATTTCCAAGTCCCTGTCTTTGTAAAGAAGTGTGTCTGAGAAAGTTTTCACCTGTACAGTTAATAGTTATTTGTAAATATGGAGTTGTCCAGGGGTCTAGCCTTTCCCTCAATGAGATAATGTTTAAGTGAGCAGTAAATACAACAATGAATAAGAATATTGGGAGAGTAATGCGAGCCCCCAAAACTAAAATGTTTCATCTTTCAATTGGGTACAAAATTTCCCAACATAGTGTTGCTTTATAAATAATTTTGCTCTTTGTTCTGATTTTTATATTGCCTTTCTTTTGGAGACATTTTATAACATAGTGTGTAGCATGATTTGAACAATTACTTTCTTGTATTTTTGGTTGGACCTATGCTTATTTAATTCTTCAGAGCTTCATTTTTTTAAATTATCTTTTGACTTTTTTTTTTGCCTGTCCTCATCCTAAGCTCTATTTTGACTTACATATTTTTAATATCCAACCTTATTAGAACCAGCTTAAGCAAGTATATTTTCATCTACATTATCCAATAATGTTCCTTGAAAAATGGGTTAATATTTGCTTAAAATTTACACAGATTAAGACAACTTGAAAAATATTCATACCAACTTAAAAAATATCCATACCAATTGTACTGATTTATAAATTTCAGAATAAAGTAGGTTTCTAGAACACAAAAGTGATCTAACTAATTTCTAGTTTGGAACTTACATGACCATTTGGAAAAAACTGAAACAAACCATGTGGAGACTAGATCAACTTTCTATATGATGCAGTTCATCATATAGAAATATATGCAGTTCATCAGCTTCTTAAAATTTCTTTCTTGTTTATTTACTAACTTGCTTCCTTCCAATCATCCTTTTTTTCTTTTTAACCAACTTTTTTTCCAACTCCAAGATACATAGAAAATTATTGTTGTAATTTAATAAATAAAATTAAAATTTTAATAAATTTTCTTGTAATTAGAAAATACAAGTAAGCAAAAATAAGAAAATTAAAATTACCTGTCATTCCAATATAACTGCTATCATTAATCTGTTAACATTTTTGTCTATATCCTTCTGATCGTTTTCATATTTGTGTTTGTTTAAAATGGGATAATGTACATAATGTTTTATTAGTCTTTTGTTTTTCACTTTTACCTTATCTTGAAAATCTTTCCCTGCCATCATTTTTTAAATATGACCTTTTGATAGTTTTCACAACTGATTTTAAATATTTCCTCTTATGTCTGACTCAGACTTTTGCAGCTCCTCTTGCTTTTTTGGTGGGGAGAAGGTAGCAAGAAGCTCTGTTTTTAAAGATAAAGAGCTTTTTCAGGGACTCTGAACTTTGCCGTATTCTAATGAACTCTATATAGAAAGACTCACTGCCTGTTCCTTTCTACCTACCTTCCAGAGGTTGTTCTAGCACTTAGGCTTACTGTTACATTTTAGTTTAGCAAATTCTACATGAACCTCCAAAGAACTCTCAAGAGTAATCCTAGATTATACATCCAACTTTTATTAGTTGCACATAAAATTATCTACTGGGAACTTAAAGGCCTCCTTTATATTCTAGTCATATCTGGTAGGTTTTATGGCTAGGAGAGGAAAAAAAAAAAAAAACTAGACAAAAGTGATGACCACTCACACCTGCCCTGTTTGTTCAAATCAAATCATCATGTAGAATGGAGGCATAATCCTAGCAATGTCTAAGTGAGGGAAATTCTAGTCTTTAATTGTTTCAGGTGGACAGGAGTGTTAAGAAAAGAAACTTATAATTAAGTTACGAGAAAAATCCTTCAAAATGATGGAACCTAATCATCTACCCTTTTCCAGACAAGCAAATTAACTTCTTTCCCCATGCATATCTCTAAATTGCAATCCTGTATAAGAAAATTATTGAATCTAACCTTAGGCAGTGGCCATCTTTTAGAGCTTACATTTAAGCAACAGATCTCTAAGAATTAATTTTGAGACTGACTCCATTTCTTTTGAAGAAATGGGTCCCATGCTGGAATCAATTTTTCAAGTATATTTGCAAATGAGTTAGGATAACTTCTCTGAGTAGATGAGTCTCCATTAGTAAAATACACATTGTGTGCTTTTCATAATTATGGCATCACATTTTCTCCAGTAAATTTGCCAGTAGGGGTAAAAAAGTTTCTTGAACTGGTGTATAGAGTCATTTTTTTTTTAGAAATCAAAGACTGCTACAAGCAATAGCTATTTTAGAACTCAGATAACATTTGAGGAATACTTATTAGTTAATGGAAAAATTTAGTTTAATTGTAGGAGAAAAAAAAAATACATTTCTTTGAGCTTGTTTGGACATTTTCCAAGGCCAGAAATTTAGAAAATCAGGAATTCTTTTAAGGAAGAAAATAACCCTTGGCCTTTTCTTTCTTTGTGATTGTATCTCCAGAGAAGTATTTGAGCTAATTTTGCTTTCAATTACTAAATTACTGGTGACCATGTGTACATCATCAACAAAGAAAGTTCAAAAACTCCTTTCAAACAACTTATCAATCAATCAGGAATATCCTATGTAGTATAACAAAATAAAAAATGTAGAACAATTTTGTATTCTGATCCTACTCTGATTTATATATGTTGATAATCAAATATTACAATTGGAAAACATCTTAGAACTATTTATTTCTCTCTCTGATACTTTTTCTCCCAAATTTAAAAGGAGACAAAATAATTTTAAAATCTGACTCCAGTTTTGTTCAGTGCATGATCAAACATTTATTCTGCAAATGATATTTTATTTGAAATTAGTCATTTTTTTTCTGACAACAATAAGTTATTTTGTTTTTTACAGTTCACAAGTAATAAATATGAGGACCGAACTATCGTACAACATTCAAGCCCTTGCAGTTTGGGCAAATATATGTCTAGCAAGAAAGTGAGTAATGTAATTCCTTATTTTTCCTTTGTTCATGAAGTGAGCCAATGTTTTAATATGTCATTGCAGAACATTACTGGTATTATTTTATGTTTCAAATAAATGACTGTTCTTGCCTTCTGTTAAGGCAAATATGTTTTGCTTTTCTGCTACCTTATTTTATCTTCAATTATAGATCAATTATTTCAAAAACCTTATCAGTTTATTGCAGCTAAAATAGGCAAGTCATGTGATATTTTAAACTTCTGGTTTGATCTTACTCTGCGTGTACTAATGATTACTGTTTATGCAAAAGAAGCAAACAACTATTTATTTATTTATTTTTATAGTATTAGGCATTAAACCCCTGCCCTCTGCCACTGAACTATATCTGCAGCCCTTTTAAAAATTTTTTAAATTTATATATAGGGTTTCACTGTGTTGGCCAGGCTGTCTGCCTCCTGAGCAACTTCAGGCATACATCAATACATTCAGCACAAACAACTATTTAAATTCCCCTGATAATAAATGAAAGCCCTAAAAATATAGCACTGCTAATCTTTATTAATTTGTTATTAATTTATTTTCTTGTCTGTTGAACATGTGTATTTGTATATAAGTCAGTATATGTATGTACATCTATATTTATGGTTTTATTTGCTTAATGTAACATTATATTGTTAATATTTTTCCATACCAAAAAATACTTAAGGTCATTTAAGTGTCTACATAATACATTCCATCCTATGACCAAAGGAGAATTAAATTTCCCATTTGAGTGTTATTTTATTGCTTCCATTTTTTCCCTCTATTATGACACTAATACTAAAGCATTTTTATGGGTTGTTTATGCACATTTGTGGTTTTTGCTTAAAGATTTATGCCTGAATGTCAAATACTCAGTTATTTTGACACAAAGTCAGTGATTATAAGTATTTTTAAAGCTCTTGATAGAGATATTATGTAGTTAATTTTTCTCAAGGATTATACTAACATTCTCATACTAAATTCTCACCAACATTGATATATTATTTCAGGCATGAAAATATGCTATATTTTGCATATGCTTGATTACTTCTTAAATTTAATAAGATCAATAGTTGATATTTTTCTGTGAATATCCTTTGCTGCATGATTCTATTGTCTACAACATTCAATTTGAATAAACTTAAATTGCAATTATAGAAAATTATTATTTCAAGTTATGTTGGTTGTCTATTCCAACTCAGATTTCAACACTGATGACTTTCTTTCTTCTTAAAAATGAAAGTTTTATTTGAGTGTGGTGGTGCATGCCTGTAATCCCAGCAGTTGATATGAGGCAGGAGATTCATAAGTTCAAGGCCAGCCTGAACAATTTAGGGAGAACTGGCTCAAAATAAAAGGGTTTGCAGTTTAGTTTTGTGATAGAGTGCTCCTGGACACAATCCCTAGTACTGCCAAAAAAATTTAAAAAATAAAAGGTTTATAGTTACAAATATTTTTCTATAGTTTAAAGCTATTTAATGTTATTATTGATATTCATACATATAGATAATTTTGGACATATTTTTATTCGTTTTGTAGGGAGAGACAGAATTCACCATTAGTGTGGCTTTTTACTGGAATGTTTTGCATTTATTCATTGTTCTTCGCTTGGAGGGCAAATTTAGATATTTCAAAACCACTGTTCATGGGTGTGGTAAGTTTTACTTAGATACATCCTTTAATCAGAAAGTTTATGAAGATTGTGCAAACATGTCTCTTATGAACTTTATAAAAGAATGAATTATTTCAGGAATAATAAAAATTATATATACATTTTTACAAATCAAAAGTTAAATTATTGAGCCATTAAGATTACGGTCTCTTTTTAGGAAAAAAAAAAATGCTATGTTTTGTTAATAGAGTAGTTAAATAGGAAAATAAATCTAAGGTAGACTTAGGTTAGTTGTGTGTGTGCGTGTGTATGTGTGTATATGTGTATACACTTACAAATATATGCATTTCATCTAGAATACTTTTTAGAATAGCAAAATAAATATGGGTTATAACGAGGGGCTGTTGCCAACATATCCCTTTACTTCTTACGTGGAAGTTCTAGGCCTGTAAAAAGAGCACCTATGTTTCTGTTTTCCTGTCAGCCATCTCTGAGATTAGGGTATTTCTTCTTATAATAGAAACTCTATAAATTTGGACAGCTTTTTTTGATAGCTGAAACCAACTAGTCATTTGTGTATGTACTTAAGATGCCTAATAAAAAATAACCTACTTGATCATCAGACTTGGGAACAAAATAAATTAGTGTAAACGGTTAGGAGAATCGCATTTATTACTGATAATGCTGAGATTGGAGAATGTGACTTCTAAGTGTGGACAAGAGGACTTCCTTATCCTGCCAGAGGGGACAGGTAGTGCTGTGACTATGGGGCAGGCCTCACCCCACCTCACTCCTACCCACTGTGCACAGAGATAGACTGTCCTGGACAAGTGCTTCTTGGCAGCTCACTTCCAAGAGGGAGAGGAAAACACAGGACTGTGTTGTCCCAATAACAGTTTCAGCTCCCCATCAATTCAGTTCCTACCCTCCTATAGGAAGAAGGGAGGGTAAGGAGAGAGGCCAGGATTATTATACTCATATAGCTTATGCATAAGGAAGGGAATATTAGGAGAAAAGCAAAAGCATTTCTCTACCTCTCCCACTCTAGATAATCACTGGAGTTCAGTATTAAGATGAAGTGTGAATCCCAAAAGGGAGATACACATGTCAAACTGGGAAGGAAGAACTGTTCTAAATTGAAAATTAAAGTGACCTCAGGTTGGATTGGGGAAGTCAGTTAACAAGATCTAAATGACAGGAGGCAAATACAACTAGTTGTAAGCAGTATAAATTTTTTAAATATTTAGGTACCTGACTGATTGTATGAACTAGTCAAGTGGACCTACTGTTTGCCTATCTTTCACAGGTGGAACGATTTTGGATGCAAAGCAATGCAGTGGTAGCCGTCCTCGCTGGCATCGGTTTGGCTTCACTTGTGTCTAAGACTAACCAAGTGCTGAATAGCAACGGGCTTCAGTGTCTGGAATGGCTTTCAGCAACTCTTTTTGTAGTTTTCCAAATATATTCTAATTATAGGTAACCCATGGCTATTTTTATGAAAAGTAGCACTTGAGCCAGAGAATTTTGAATATTTTACATTCTAGGACATTCTATTTTGCATTTATTTTTAACTTCTATTGGTTTCTAAGATTCAAAGTGAGGCAGCTTGGTCTGAATGCAGTAGATTTTATGTTTTGGGATTAATAAGCTTTTTGAATCAGAACCAGAGATTGTTTGTAGAATCTGGAGTATGTATAAAATTACATGATCTAAAATACCACTTAAGTGGAGAATAAAGAGATTTGGGGCTTTTTGTATACCCTAAAATAATTTACTTTATGTTTCAAAGATTTTTTCTTTTGAATTATAACTGGCCCTGTACCAGTCAACTTTATATTAGAAAATATTAATTATTTTTAAATCAATTTCTGAAAGTTTTTAACTCATGTATTATTAGTATTGTGTATATACATATATATATATATATATATATATATATATATATATATTCAATATCTTTTTAATAATGATTATAATGATCTTGGTATAACATAAAAGATGTGAAAGTCTTAGATGATAATTAATTTATTTCCAGCAGTATTAGATACATTACAAAAGTGGAAGAAAGAGTCCCTTGGCATTTTGTTATAGTGAGATTTGACTGTATTTAAAGGATTCAGTTTTCTTCTGGGTACGGTGGTGCATGCCTTTGATTCCAGTGACTGGGGAGTCTAAGACAGGAGGATTGCAAGTTTAAGGTTACCCTCAACAATTTAGCAAGGCCCTACACATCTTAGTGAGACCCTGATTCAAATTTAAAAATAAAAAGGAGTGGGGATTATAAATCAGTGGTAAAACACCCATTGAATTATTCAATACCCAGTACCCCCCCCCTACAAAAAAGGTTAAATTTCCTCTTTTAACTTAACTTTCAAAACCAATGTTCTTTATAATCCCAGGTAGAGCCTGTGCTAGGAACATTTCATCTTCAGGACATCTTGGGAAGGGGCTGCATGACCCAGACATAGCTCCATCACTAGCTCAAGGAGGGCTCACCAGCCTCCATTGTTTTTTAATTCCAATTTTCTCCTGGCTTGGGTCATTAAGAGCATTCCAGGGTCAGCACCAGAGGTGTTTGCACAGGTTAGGTGGTTTATTTTGTTTTGATTTTTTTATTTACCCAAGGGAATGAAATAGATAGCAACTTTTCTGGTTGACAAAGTATGAGCCATCACCTGGCAAAGCAGGGAATCATAGTAGGAAATAGTAATTGTTGCACTGATTGCAGAGGCAGGGATAATATTCCGTTCCTTGAAAGGTTTTGTTTGCTTTTTGATACTAACCTTGTGATTCAGCTTGAGGCATTGCTTCTAAGCTCCATAAAATGTAATAGACCTGATAATAAGAGGAAAGATATTGCTTGCCTCATCTTTTGAAGTTTCCCCCGCCCCTTGTAGTCTTTCTCTCTTTTCATGGAAAGTTCTCAAAATTCATGTACTTTTTCTTTGAAGTTAGAAAGTCTACTTCATTCTTGAAAAGAACTGTACTGCTGTTCTTGGCAAGAACAAATAGTGTCAGGAGAAAAGTAGACAACTCAACAGACTATTTCTTCCCCTCCTTCTCTTTCGTCTTATTCTCCAGTGGTAATTTTTTACCTTCCAGTGGAGAAAGGAACACAGGAAGCCTGGGGTACAGGGAAATGGTGGGAAGGAACAACCTCTGCATGCAAGAAAATCATACAAATGTCTTATAAATATATGTCATAAATTGGCAGATTTCCTTTTGCATTTCTGAAAGTTCCTTTGGCATAAATGAAATTAACATAAATTACCTTAAATTCCAAGTGGAATCAGAAACCTTACTTTTGTTATATGAAATCGGATTACTTTTAGGAAGAAAAAGACTTATTCTTGAGCACTAACTGATTCCCTTTTTATGGAAATGATTATAAATTCTAGAAGTAAAGTAGTAGATGAGTGTTTTTTCAGTTGCACAATTGGGTCCTTTTTTTAATCAAATGATAGTGTTTTTTAATTATGCAAATTCTCATAGGATATAAATTAAATAGTTTGAAACAATAAATGTAGATTTGTGATAGGAAAAGAATGGTGTGGAAAATAAACCCAATGTTATTAAAATTATAGCAAAGTATTGCTATTTTAACATTTTTGATCTTTTTATTTAGCATTTGTGACCAAAGGACCAACACTGTGATCGATAAATTTGCAAAGAACCTTCTAGATTCTATGCCACATGATGCAATTATCTTACTTAGAGGAGATTTGCCAGGCAATTCTCTCCGTTATATGCATTACTGCGAAGGATTGAGGCCAGATATTTCATTAGTGGATCAGGAAGTAAGTATATGTAAAATGTATTTGGAATTTATCAATCATTTTAAAACATTTATTATCATTTTTAAAATACCAAATAGATACAGTGATTATAATCATTCTTAGGTAGATTATAGATCACATTCTTTTGTTTATTTTAATTGTTAGTATAAATTGTTTGAGTTGCTTCTTTCTCATTTAACCTGAATGTTTTAAGAATTACGTATTTCATGTTAGATTCAAATAATATGCTAGGTCTCCAGTTCACATAATAAACCATGAAAATGTTTATTGTACTGTAAATGTATTGTTAAGTTGTTTTTTTTTCATTTAGCCAACTCAGCCATTTAAAGTAATACTGTCTACTGGTCTAGGGATTAAAATAAATTAAATTGAATATAAAATAAATCATACTGTGGTTAAAATAGCTACTTGATCATCAGAGTTGTGAACTCAAATAATTTCTCAAAATAAAAACTATTAACTACAACTCTGCTATGGAAATTTTGCATAATCTTTGCTGATCCTAGGACAAAAACATGTTAGGAGGGGACTTGTAAAAATTTTGATGGCAATTAAAACAATTTTCTGGAAATGAAGAACTATATTTAAAATACAACATTTGGGGCTGGAGTTGTAGCTCCGTGACAGAGCACTTGCCTAACATGTATGAGGCTCTGGATTCAATCCTCAATACCACATAAAAATAAATAAGTAAAATAAAAGTATTGTATCCATCTATAATTAGGAATCTAAAAAATACTTTTAAAAACTCCTACAATATTTATTATTTAGACCATAATTATCTAAAAGGAAACAAATATGGTGCTTCTAGAGTAGTCATCAAGAAAAGTGAAATTTTTAATCTCAAATGAATAATTATGATTGTTCAATAGAACAATTACTAGGCACAATACTTTTAATAAATTGTGTTGAAGTAGAGAATAATTAGAATTTTTGGAGAAAAACAACACATTTGCAAATACTCTGTAGGGAAATTTGCAGATTATAAATATTTTATAAGCACTTTGCATTTATGTTAACACACATATTGATGAATTTAATCTTAAGTCTAACTCAAGTTTAGCTTCTGACAAAAGCTAGGTTTTTCATTAATAATGTGGTAGATTATTTTTTGATAACATGATATTATTATGCTGTGATTTCAAATATTGTAGCCCAGTAAAGTGCTGCTTAGCATGTATGAGGTCCTGAGTTCAATTCCTAGCACTTGTGTGTGCATGTGCTTGTGTGTGAATGTGTGAATACTGTTTGAGATATCAGCTGCTATAGTTAAGAAGTATGGATTTCAAAGAGTATAAGACATAAATTCAGGTTTTCATTCTATCATTTCCTAGATGTGACAGGGGCTAACAATTTTCTTCTCAAAGCTTCTCTTCCCTTATGCATGAAATAGAAGTTATTATTATATAAGCTAGGATCTTTTGAATGCACGAAAAAAGAATGCCTTAGAGTAACTTAAACTATGGAGTTTGTATTTCACATAACAAGTAGTCTTAGGTGATTTTAGGATTGATGATAGAAGAAGCTCAGTGATGTCAGAATTCTGGGGCATGGATGCATGGTTCCAAACATCACAACCTAAAACAAAGCAAGGTACTTCTGTTTGGGCCTGTCCCCCTCCTCTCTATTGGAAGTTTTCCAAGGCCTTAGAAATTCCCAGCAGACCTCCACCTGAGCTGGCTCGTATGCCCACTCCTGAAATATTCATTAGTAAAGTGAATGACTGAGATACCTGACCAAAATCAAAGTTACTTTAGCAAGCAAGAAAACAATAGCTGTTAAATGTGCAATCAACAGGGTCTGATGCAATTGTTTCTGTAAAAGAAGGTTATTGTGGAAATTAAATAAGAAGCATGAAGGTCATAATGCAAACAGGGTATTTGGTTAATGTTAGCATTATCTAAAACTGAAAGCCTTGAGCAAAAAATTCCAATCCATTATTTGTTGAGTTTTATAGTGTTCACTTAGATTAAAAGTAATTTGTCACTAGGCCCGGTGGCGCACACCTGTAATCCCAGCAGCTCCGGTGGCTGAGACAGTTGAGACAGGAGGATCTCGAGTTCAAAGCCAGCCTCAGCAATGGTGAGGAGTTAAGCCACTCAGTGAGACCTTTTCTCTAAATAAAATAAAAATAGGACTGGGGATGTGGCTCAGTGGTTAAGTGCCCCTGAGTTCAATCCCCAGTACCAAAAAACAAAAAAAAAAAAATTAATTTGTCATTTTCATGTTAAATGACTTACATGATCTAAGTAAGCATAAGCACAGTTGCTCAGATGTTAATATAAAAACAAAACTTTGAAAGTGCAAATAGGAATCTTTTCTTTAAAAAGAGGGTCTCTAACATATGAAAGTATATAATTAACTATACATTAATTATACAATTAATAAAAGTGACTTTTCTAATATTAATAATTCATTTTAATCAAAAGAACATTAAAGTATTGACACTAATTTCTGTATACTAATAAATTCAGCCAAAAGGGTTAAAAACCCTTTGAGACCTAGATTATCATATGATTGAGCTTTTCAAGGGCAGGGATTATATCTTATTTATTGTAGGTGAGCAATACTTATTTTTTTGAATGGATGAATGAAAGAATGGAGTAATGATACATTTCTGTATTTTGTATAGGTTGTCTAGTCTGACCATCAAAGAAATTTCAACTTCAGCAAGCGTAATTTGAGAACTGTTCTGTGCCAGGCAATGTGCTAGGTGTACAAAAGTGAAAAGATACAGTCCCTTCCCCTAGGAGCTCACAGTCTAGTGAGGAATAGGCCTAGAGCTGTACTAGAGGTAGGTACAAAGTGCTACCTCTGCATGTCATTCTGGCTGTGGAGACTGGGGAGGGCATCACAGAGGAAGTGATAATTATACTGGTTCTGAAAGCTGAGTACACATTCTTTAGGTAGAATAAAAATGGGGATAAGCCACCTGGGTCATCAAACACATGGAGGTTAGAAGGGCACAGTGGCTCACACCTGTAATCCCAGCTCCTCAGGATGCTGAGGTAGGAGGAGGATCACAAGTTTAAGACTAGCCTGAGCAACTTAGTGAGACTCTGTCTCAAAATCAAAATAAAAAGAATTGAGAATGTAGCTCCGTGAGAGAACACCACTGGGTTCAACTCCCAGGCCCACAAAACAAAATGCATGGAATTGAAAATAAAACTGAGCATTGATGTTACCTGTTATAGTCATGTCTTAAGGCCTAAAAATCAAAGGTTTATGTCATTTTTAAAATTGTAGCTATACCCTTGATTATTCCTAAATGTATTTTTCAATTATTGAATGATAGTATATTCACATTTTAGAAACTTTTCATTGGCTAAACTTGGTTCTTTTAAAGAGATGTACTAAAAGTATGGCATCATATGTTATTTTTCTGGCAGATGATGACTTATGAGTGGTATTTACCGAAAATGGCAAAGCATTTACCAGGTGTTCATTTTCCTGGGAACCGGTGGAATCCTGTGGAAGGAATATTACCCAGTGGAATGGTCACATTTAATCTTTATCATTTTCTTGAAATAAATAAACAGTAAGCATTCTTTTCATATAATAGCTTTACTAAAATCTTAAGCTTTTCTAAAATTATTTCTGTAGCAGCTGTGCCTCATCCAAAAGACCAATTTTCTATACCTATTTCCCTGTCACCAATGAGATTATCTTTGTAATTAAATTGAATATCTGTGCATAAATGAAGCCAGGCAAAAATAAATGTTATTGTTCTGGGCAAAGGAAAAATAAAGACAGATTAGCAAGAACAGAAAATAAGATCTTAGTACAATTCAGAGAAATTGGAGATGTGCCTGCCTACTTGAAATCATTGCAGGTGGATCGCAAGCAATTATAGTTTTCCTCCTGATCAACACTGTGGCCCCCTTTTAAGTGTAAAGCAAATTTTCTTCAGAATAATCACTATATGAAAATAGCTTAAGGACTTTTTTAATAAAGGATAAGACAGTTTTATAAATAAGAAAAGCATCTACAGTTTACACTAGCTGAGATAAAATATAAGAATTGTGAATTTTATACCTGAGAACATAAAATTATTCATACTTAAGGTCAAGAATAAAGTACTTCTTCAATAGTATATTGTTGAATATTTCTCCTGTCCGTTAAATACTTCAAATTGTCCAGAGCTTGAAGAAGAAAAATTTATTTCATGACTTTTTTTTTCTTATAGAGGACTTTAGAAAATCTTTATAAATTCCAGAGTTAAATTATCCCTTGCTAAGAACATAATAGTATGGTATTTTCAGTGTTCAAAGCCTGTGTTTATGGTGGCTCGTGGAGTAATATAAAGGTAATAGGTATAAATGTGCTGTGAGAGCAACATTTAATTATTTCATTCTAGAATAAAATATAAAGAACTATTAACATCTCCAAATTGGCATTTTTGTGAATTTTGTTTAATCCAACCTCACAAAATTTACTATGTGGCAGCTTGAGTTAGGCCCTAGCAATATATAAAGATGAATGAGACTCAGCTCCAAGTCCATGTAGACCACAATCTATTTGTATATATACATAGTTATGACTGTAACTAGTTGTTTATATACATAGAATATGATAAAGTCTACCCTAGCAATGCTTTGTAAAGTGTCAGAATAAATGCTTGATATGTATCTACTAAATAGCTGACTCAACTGACTTGAAAAGCTGAGTGTTCTGGCTTCATAGATGAGGAATCCATTAATTCCATCTAGGAGCATTCATTCAGCTTTTGTTTAATTAAATAGCAGTTGGTATGTCTTTCAAGGGGATTATTATTATTTTTTTCTATCAGCACTGGGGATTGAACACAGGGGCACTCTGCCACTGAACTACATCTCCAGCCCTTTTTATTTTTTCATTTTGATCAAGAGTCTTACTAAGCTGTCAAGACTTCCTGCCTCAGCTTCTGGAGTAGTTGGGATTCTAGACGTGCCATTGTGCTTGGCTACTGTTAACATTTTGATAAGCTGTTTTTGATTCCATTTAACAAATTATTTATTTATGTACATATATACACATAGACATATACTATATTTTATATAGCAGGAATATCTCATTTTCTGTCCAGTTATTTTTTCCTGACAACATATCATGTGCATTTCCCATGTGATCAATAAAATGTCTTTATTACCATCATTTTTTTTTGCTATATTTCCATAGGATTCATGATAATTTAACATACTATTTTTTTTATAAACTTTTGTTGTTTCTAGACTTTTGCTACTATTAACATGGTAATAAGCATTCTGACCCATAAAGTTTTGTCAATATTTTTTACTAACGAAAATGATGTTTATTGTCTGCTTTAAAAATAATATGTGATTTAAAAAGTAGTATGTGTTCATTATAGAATAATAATTCAAGTTTTAATTTTTTACTACTACAAAGAGTGTGTCTCTAATAAAGGTTTTTTTTTTTTTTTGGGTGGTGCTGGGAATTGAACCTAGGACTTTGTGCATGCGAGGCAAGCACTCTACCAACTGAGCCAAATCCCCAGCTAAATAATAAATTAATTTTTAAAAATTAAGAGTGGTCCTATCATTCAGAAACAATTAATGTAAAAAATGCATATTTTTTACAAAGTTGAAAGCATAGTGTAAAATATAGTCCTGTTTTTTCCTTCAATATCATAAGAACATTTTCTTATGTTTTTATAAACTCTTTATAAATATTTTTAGTAGATACATATACTATGATTTAATAATAATAGGTTAATGCAAATCTTAGTAGATATTAACATTGTATCTAAAGTAATAAGCTACAACAAAAGCCTTTGTACATGTAATTTTTTGTGGACAGAAGAATTTATTAGGGTAGAATAATCAATATTAGTAAAAAATAATAGTAATTATACTATTACTAATAGTAACAATAATTAGAATATTAGTATTTCATTCAGAAGTAAAATTACTAAGTGTAAGGACATGAATGACTTAAAAACACTTAATAGGGATTTCCTCCCCCAAAATGTTGGACCATCACATGAAAGCTCTTTAAAATGAGTACTTTTAAAAATAAAGAAGCTAATCCCCAGGCACAGTGACACATGTCTGTAATCCCAGAAGCTAGGGAGGCTGAGACAGGAGGACTGCGAGTTCAGAGCCAGCCTCAGCAACAGGGAGGGGCTAAGCAACTAAGTGAGATCCTGTCTCTAAATAAAATACAAAATAGGGCTGGGGATGTGGCTCAGTGGTTGAGTGCCCCTGAATTCAATCCCTGGTAACACCCCCACCAAAAAAGAAAGAAGCTAAAATTTAGTTAGCAACTATTATTTTATGTTTAATTATACAGTAATTTTTTTCTTTTCCCTCTTTTTTTTTTTGGGGGGGGGCATACAGTTCTATGAATTTTAATACATGTATACATTTATGAGATCACCACAACAGTCAGAATACAAAAGTCTGTTGCCCCTCAAGCTGTCTTTGTGCTACTCTTGTATATCCATACTATCATCAGAGCCCTAACCTTATCCTCCACTGATCTGTTCTTCATTATTGTAGTTTTACCTTTTCTAGAATGTTATATAAATGGAATCATAAAGAATGTAATCTTTTGATAATGGCATATTTTACTCAACATATGCCTTTGAAATCCACCCAAATTTTATATACTAGTTCATTACATTTTGTTGCTGAGTAATATTCTATTACATGGATGTACCACAGTTTGTTTAGCCTCTCTCCTATTGAAAACATTTGTGTTGTTTCCAGTTTGTGGCATTTACAGATAGAGCTGCTATAAACATTTATGCTTAAGTTTCTGTATGAATATGTTTTCATACCTAGGAGTAGAATTAAGCGATTTGTTTCCTTTTGAGTTTTAAAATTTTTTTATATGTTCTAGATATGAATCCTTTGTCGATATGTAATTGTTAAACATTTACATTTTCTCCATTTGTGTCTTCTTATTATCTTATAAATATCTCTTGTGGAGATAAAGGGGTTTTTTTTATTTCAATGAAATTCCCAATTATTTTTCTTTTATGAATTATACTTTTGGAGTTGTTGCTAAGAATTCTTTGCTAATGCCAAGTCATGAAGATTTTCTCATGTTTTCTTCTAAGTTTTATAGTTTTGTTTTTGCATATGAGATGCCAAATTTTCCTCACACTCTTTGTTGCAAAGATTGTCCTTTCTGAAATCATTGAATTGCAATAACATCTTTCTTTTTTTGTTGTTTTTAGATGCATATTTTATTTTTTTCATTGTTTTTATGTATTTATTCTAATTAGGTATATTTGACAGCAGAATGCATTTTGATTCATTGTACGCAAATGGCACACAACTTTTCATTTCTCCGGTTGTACACGATGTAGCATCGCACCATATATGTAGTCATACACATACCTATGGTAATGATGTCTGTCTTATTCTACCATCTTTCCTGCGCCCATGTCCCCTCCCTTTCTCTCCCTCCCCTTTCCCCAATCAAAGTTCCTCCATTCTTCCCATGCCCCCCCCCACATTTATAGATCAGCATCTACTTATCAGAGAGAACTTTGGGCCTTTGGGTTTTGGTGATTGGCTTACTTTACTTAGCATGATATTCTCCAGCTCCTGCAATAACACCTTTCTTGTTATTTACCAAAAAAAAAAAAAAAAAATCCTTCTGGAATTTTTGGTTGGTTTTAATTTGATTAGTGTTTTTCATCCTTTTGCTTTTAACCAAATTATATCATATTTAAAATGGCTCTTGTAGATAGCATATGTTTGGATCTTGTTTTATTATAAATCTGTATTTTACCTAGTTTATTTAAACCATTTGCATTCAATATGTTTAGATGTATGTCTACTTTTTTGTTATTTGCTTAAGTGTGTTCCCTATTTTTCATTTCACTGTTTCCACTTTTCTTCCTTCTTTTGTATTGATTTTTTCCCTATAATTCCATTTATTTTATTTTATTTTTGGTACTAGGGATTGAACCCAGGGGTGCTTAACCACTGAGTCACATCCCCACCTCCCCCCTTTTTATATACTTTTTTATTTTGAGATAAGGCCTTACTAAATTGTTGGCACTGGCTTTGTACTTACAATCTTCCTGCCTTAGCCTCCTGAGCCACTGGAATTATAGGAATGTGCCACTGTGCCCATTTCAAATTTTTTATTGAGAATTTTACTGTATCATTTTTACCATGTGTCTTGGTGAAGATTAGGGTTTTTTTGTTTGTCTGTTTGTTTGTCTTGCCTTTTAAGTCCTGCTTGCTCTTGAAATTATAGTATAAATACATAATTTTTTAATCTATTAAAGATGTTTATTTTAGTACTTCAAATGGAATGTAGAAATCTTGATTAAAGATAAATGATGAATGGGGCTTGGGTTGTGGCTGAGTGGTAGAGCATTGGCTAGCATGTGTGACTCATTGGGTTCAATTCTCAGCACCACATATAAATAAATAAAGGTCCATCAACAACTAATAAAATATTTTTTTTAAAAAAAGATAAGTGATTAATGATTAAAACCAATCAAAAAACCCAGAAGGAATTTTTTTTGGTAGATAACAAGAAAGGTGTTATTGTAATTCAATGATTTCAGAAAGGATTAAATTCCTTTAATCTCCCCACTTTTGATTGTGTTGTTACATACATTATATCATGCATGTGCTAATTTTAGTTTTCAAATTTTTAGACACATATTAAATATCTTAAAAGAAAAAACACAATATTTATCTAGGTATTTACCAAGTCTGTTTTTCTTCCTTTAATCCAGTATTTAGATGTTTCCCTTTTGTATCATTTCCCTCTTTTCTGAATATATTCCTGTAATATTTTTTTTCATTTGTTGATGGACCTTTTTTTATTTATTAATTTATATGTGGTGCTGAGAATTGAACCCAGTGTCTCACACATGCTAGGCAAGCGCTCTACCACTGAGCCACAACTTCAACCCCTTTTTTTAAAAAATATTTTTTTAGTTGTAGATGGACTCAATACCTTTATTTCATTTTTATGTGGTGCTGAGGATTGAACCCAGTGCCTTCCACATGGGAGGCGAATGCTCTACCACTGAGCTATAGCCCCAGCCCCCTGTAACATTTCTTTTAGAGAAGAACTGTTAGCAGTGGGTCCTCTTAATTTTCTATCATCCAAAAATGTTTTGTTTCACCTTCATTTTCTTAAGCTTGTTTATGGATACAGGATTTGTGTTGATAAATATTTTTTCCCCACACTTGAAAAATGTTATTTTACATCCTTTTGACCTATGTATCTTCTGATGAGAAATCCACAGCAGAAATATATTCTCTCCCTCTGGCTGTTTTCAAGACTTTTTATTTGTCTTTAGTTTTCAGTGGTTCGATTATGAGGAATCTAGGTGCGGATTTCTTTGAGCCAAACCTGTTTGGGGTTTTGCAGAGTTTCTTGAATATGTAAAATTGTGGACTTCTCAGACATCATTTCTTTAAATATTTTTTTTCTGTTCCACATAGTTTCTCTTCTGAAACTAATGACCTAAACTTAGGTGCCTGGGACTCTACATTTTCTTCAGTCTGTTTCTTTTTGACATACTCTTTCCCTGAATTCATATTAAGCCCACCCAGTTAATTTTTAATTTCAGTGATTGTAGTTTTCAGGTGTGTAATTTCTATTGGGTTCCTCTTTATATCTTCCTTTTCTTTGTTGAGATGCCCTATCTTCTCACTAATTTCAAGAGTATTTGCCCTTACTTCTTGGTGCATGATTATCATAGCTTTTAAAAAGTCTTTGTGTGTCTATGCTAGCATCTGAGTCACCTTGAAATTGGAAACTGTTGATTGTCTTTTCCCTTGTGAGTTGAGATTTTTCTGGTTCTTAACATTCTGAGTACTTTTGGATTACATCCTAGACATTTTGAATATTGGTCCTTATTTAATCCCAAAACAGTGTCTATTTTTTTTTTATTTTTTTTATTTAACAGATCTTTGGCCAAGTTAATTTCTGGCTGCAAGTTCTGGTCTACTTTCTGTGAGCTGTGGTTCCAATTCCAGTTCTATTTTTAAAACAGTTGCAGTAACATTTGGATCAATCCCATGTGAGTGCTACCAAGTGTCTAATCTGAGATCTGGGTGATCAACTGTCCTATGGTTAATTTTGCAAACTCTGTTTAGGGTCAGATCCACGTATTCTTATCTCTGAGCCAGGAGTCCATACACAATTTTATGGAATTGGCTGTCTTGATTTCTGCTCCAAAGGACTGGTCATCCCAGTACTTTCCAGCTCCCTAAGGCCTTCCCTTCCTGGTTCTCTATCCAGAAAGCTGGGGTTTTAATTTCTATCTTTTGCCATGTACTTCCTGTAACTGCCTGCATCTGGGGTCAAGCTGCAGAAGGACATACAAAAGGCAATGGGGATTGGCCCTTTACTCTTGGAACCACAGCTCCTCTGCTAAGAGAAAAGGAAGGGTTCCTCTCCCTCAGAGTTTTAGGCTTCTGCCCAACTGCCACTACCATATCTGTGGTGCTGACTCTACTGCTGCCTAAGTGTTTCTTGGTGTCTGAGAAAGAAAGGAGGGGGAAGATCCAGGGGGTTTTCTCCACTCTCTCCAAACTGTAAGAGTCCACTTTCTTGTTCTTTAGGCCAGAAATAAAAGGCTTTTTTTTTCTTGGATTTCTTTGTGTCTTCATATATACTGCTGGATTGGAGCTTTCTTTGAGTACATTCCTCGCAGTACTGCAGGGAGACAAATGATAAGTTCACTGCTGATTTGATAGAACTTTGAATTCTGGTCTTTTCCCCAGAATTCTTTTTATCCTTTCTCTTTCGGAGTCCTCAGATACCTGCTCCATGTATTATGTCCAGGAGCCATAGTTGAGTGCAGATGGCGAGACAAGTGAACTCACTCCACCTTCCTCAAAACTGAACTCTATTATGTTTTAAGAATGTACTTTAAATCAGATATTTCATTTAATTTTTGAAAACCATCAAAGACAGTTATCAGACCTATTTCACAGGTGAGGAGACTACGCACAGGTAGTTAATTTTCCCCAAATCCTAGAGGCAGTAAATGATACCCCCAAAAAATCTAAAATCTAGCCATCCCCAGCAACTTAGCAAGACCCTTTCTCAAAATAAAAAATAAAAAGGGCTGGAGATATGGGTCAGTGGTGAAATGCCCCTGGGTTTAATTGCCAATACAAAAAAAAAAAAAAAAAAAATCTAAGCTGGAGGTATCTTGTTTCAAAGTTTTGTTTTGTTTTTACTTTTTAACTTTTCACCAGTTTCCCCTAATATGTTCCTTTTTTTTTCTTACTTAATAATATCTATTAAGACATAAACAACAAATTGGAAGATAATTAGTTATCATTTTTCCTGAACAAAGCTTATTTTAACCATTTTTATTACTAATTTTTTCAGGAACTGAGGTTCCTAATAGTTATTCTAATTAATTTTATCCAGCAAATATTTATTATATATTAGGTATGTGTCATGCTGTGTGGGATTCAGAGTTACTTCAGGGAGCTATTCAGGGAGATTTACAAATGCTAATAATAAGTTGAATATAATAAATAACAAAAAAGATAATTTTTTTTTCAAAAGTATAATGGGAATTTAAGGAAAAAATGACTAGGACTAAGTAGGGATACAAAGGAAGATTTGTATTTCTGCCTGTAAAATAAAAGGAGATATTAAAACATGTTTACACATGAGACAATACCACAGCAGTTTTTTAAAAATCATACTTGTCCCCATGTGATATAATGTTATAGACAGGAAGATTTTTTTCATCTAGGTCTGTTTGCTCCCACTCCAAAAAAAAAAAAAAAAAAAAAAAATCCCATTATTTTTACACTAAGATAGATTTTAATGTATTAGTGAAATATTTAAATAAACCACATCTTTACAGATAGCTTATTGGTAACCAAGGTTTAAGGCATCTAAAGTGACATTTGATAGATTATATTTACCATTTAGAATCTTAAGTTAAAACTACCTCACCTATTTTTCTCTTTTCAATAGAAAAGAAACATTTGTTTGCATAGGAATTCATGAAGGTGACCCAACCTGGAAAAAGAACTATTCACTTTGGCCGTGGGGGTCTTGTGACAAATTAGTTCCTTCAGAGATTGTATTCAACCCTGAGGAATGGATTAAACTCACAAGAAATATCTACAACTGGACTGAAGAATATGGAAGGTATGAAAAGCAGTTGTATTTTAAGCAGAATATGACAGTTTTGTGTGTCTAAAAAAATACACACTTTCAGTTGTCTTTTAATTTTTTTTTTGTTTTTTATTTTCAAAATTATTTGCTTCCCACAATGTATCAGAAAACATCTCTCTCTTGACTTCCTATTAACAGAATGATGGGACATAGCGGGAAAAGGAGATTGAGTGGGTACCACAAGAGTTAGATGTATGGCATCTGCAGCTTCCAGACCTTTCAACACTGTATTGTCCACCCCCACCCCGTATCTCATTATCCTAAAATAAAAGGGACTCATTAACAGCACTTGAACTTTCAGAGGCACTCTGCTGCCCATGATAGTTTCCACATGCATGAACTTGTCATTTTTTTTTTTTTTCAAGAATGGCAGATATGGGCTGCACAAGTATCTCAGTGGTACAGTACTTTTCTACCATGTACAGGGTCCTGGGTTCAATCCACAGCACAACAACAACAGAAGACCGAATTTGAGTACTTTTTAAATTTTTTTCCAGCTATTTGGCATCAACCTGTTTATGTTGTTTGGGGCATTACTATTAGTCTTCCTTTAAGCATTTCTACATAGAGTTGACTGTCTCCCATATGGAAAATGGGTCACTGTCTAAAGAATTGTTTCCACTACCTATTTGTATTTTTTCTTATTTTTAAAATTATTTTCTTATTTTTTATAATTATACATAATGATGGGGTTTGTTTATATTTATATTATAAGGTGAATATCCTTCCTCAGTATGTCATCTGCTGATCTATCTTTGATTTTCATGAGATCCCTCCACCTTTCTTTTCCTTTATCCTCTCTAGCTTCCACATATGAGAGAAAACATGACCCTTGACCTTTGGAGTTTGACCTAATTCATTTAGCATAAAGTTCTCAAGTTCTATTCATTTTTCTGCAAATATCATAATTTTATTTTTCTTTTTGGCTGAATATAAATATAAATTTTCTTTATCTATTGATGGTACCTAGGCCAGTTCCATAGTTTGGCTTTTGTGGATTGTGCTGCTATAAACATGGGTATCCATGTATCATTATAGTATGCTGACTTTAATTCTTTAGGATCAATACTGAGGAGTAGGATAACTGCATCATATGGCGGTTCTATTCCTAGTCTTTTGAGGAACTTTCGTGCTGATTCCCATAGTGATTGTACTAATTTACAATCCTTCCAACTCCTCTACCTATTTTAAAAATTATGAATTACTTAAAAATTATCTAACCTGCTTAAAATTGAAAATCAAAAGACAAGTTCATATGAACAAATGCTATAAAAGTTTTTTGAATCAACATAAGCAAACAGACCACATTGTTGCATTAACATCCAGAGCTTGATAACTAGTATTAAAACAAAGCACTCTGTGGCCTTTATAAGAAAAAGTTAGAAATAACGTATTCTTCAGATTGTGGACAATAATATGTGTGCATAGCATTATTCATTGTCTCTTCTGTCAAAATACACAATAAAAGAGAAATTTTAATGGAGAAAAATCAATAAATATTTTGGCTAGAGTTCTTTGTTTGGCAAAATAGTCCTAGTAATGGTTTATCCAAGCCAGGAGTTCCCCTCTTCATGATTATTCCCTTGTTTCACAGCTCCTGGGGTCTTCACTCTGTCTAGAGCATGGCCCACACCTAACTGTTGCCGTTTAACAGCTCTTAATAATAGCTGGTCCCCCAAATGTCTTTGTTTGCTCCCTTGAGGCACTAGAGCTCACACTGATTAAGGACACATTTATCAAAACCCTGTAATTCCTGAACTGAACTTCTTTTTAGGAGAATAAATTTATTAGTTTGGTCATTATTAGTTCTTAAAGATCCAGCCTATTTGCCAGGTGTAGTAGCACACACCTGTAATTTCAGCAACTTGGGAGGCTAAGGCAAGATAGCAAGGCCCAAAGCAATTTAGCAAGACCTTGTCTCAAAATTAAAATAAAAAGGGTTGGGAATGTAGCTCAGTGGTAAAGAGCCCTTGGGTTTCCCAGTACCCCCTCCAAAAAAAGAAAAAGAAAGAAAGAAAGATTCAGACTGTTTTAGTGGCCTTATAAGATTTTAAAACAGGCATTTCATGTCTATAGCAATAAATGTATCTGACAGAAAGATATTATTGTTTCTTATAACTGCAGGTTTGATCCATCTTCTTGGGAATCTGTGGCCAATGAAGAGATGTGGCAAGCAAGGTGATTAATTACATTTTTGTGTTTGCAGTCTGTTTTTAATGTATCAGAGAAGTAGCCTATGGCAATTTTTACTTTGGGAACAGGGGTGAGTGGTAATAAAAATAATATTTATGAGCAACTATTTGGTTTAAGGCATTGTACAAATGGTTTTTTGAGCTAATACAATTAATCTATTCTCATCCTCATAACGTATGAAGTTGTTATTAATATCACCACTTTATAAAACAACAAACTGGAAGAAAGTGTACATGCCCAAGGCCACTAGGCTATTAATGATGGAGCCTGGACTTTGACTCTAGAACAGTCTTAACTCCCATGCTCTCCTTTCAATTAAACCAAAGTGAATGAGATTGAGTAGAAGTTGACCATCGCAACCTTGCCTCTATTTGTAATGTGCCAGTTAATTAAGCACTTACTTAATACTTACTAGAAGCCAGGCACTGTTCCAGGCATCAAAGCTATACATATGAATATGACACAGTTTCTACCCTCATGGAAATCATAGTCTGATGGAATGAACCAACATGCTAAAAGAGATTAATATGATAGATGCTGTACTTTCCTGTTGTTCAGAGAGAGATCACATTCTTCTGTATGGAACACTTCATAGTGATGTTACTGCTTTTCCTGGTCCCTGTCATTATTTTTAAATAATCAAAACAACTAACATGAGCAAACTTTGACTGAAATATTAATGTAAAGGTCTTAACTAATACACAGGGGTGGCTTGCTCCTATTGGCTGCTTCTTCTGCAAAAGTGTATGCCAGGGACTGTGCATTTGGAATTGAGTTATGGTTTACATGTGTTTAAAACGATGTTAAGAAGCTGGGCACAGTGATGCACACCTGTGACACAAGCTCCCTGGGAGACTAAAGCAGGATGATCACAAATTTGAGGTTTGGGCAACTTAGTGAGACCCTATCTCAGTGGTAAAAGCACCCCTGGGGTCAATCTGAAGAAGAGGGGGTAGGGGGAGGGGGGAGGAGGAAGAGGAGGAAGAGGAAGAGGAGGAGTCAAGAAATACAACTGTAAGATAATGATTATAAAAAGATATACCATAGTTTATAAATAATAGTTTTGAAAAAGTCCCGAAAACAGCACATATCAACTTATCAGCTTAGTTATAAGGACAAACACTTGCTTTAAATCCCTGGTAAAAGATACATTGTATCCACATTTCTGTGACTAACTGTGGGAAAACTAGGGAGAAATCACATAAAAGAAGAAAGCTGTCATTACTCCAGTAGGTATTGATTTAATTAGTGTGCTAAATACAACTTGGATGAGTTTATGTGGTCAAAGAATCTAGCCACCTTTGAAGACCAGGTCACATACAGAGTAAGCTGCCATGATAAGCACTTTCAGGAATGTGCTGATAATCCAGCCAAGTCTCCCCTCTTTCCAGCTGTTCTTGCTTAAGAATAATGTTCATCTGAAGGAGACCAGATGTAATAGCAATGATTAACGTAGACTTTTTTCTGAAAGATTTGGTAATAAGTGCAGCACTTTGGGGAAGGGGCTGTTGCTATAGGTTCAGAGTAAACTTCCATGAACATGAAAGAATGAAAAATAGCACAGTAAAGTGTTTTGTACGCTCCATACCAGTGGAAAGCTTGGAAGATTTAGCTCTGAATATGAAATTGATGGTATGATTTTAATAAAGGTTCCCATTCCCACCCCAGGATGAAAACACCGTTCTTCATCTTCAGCCTGGCAGAAACTACTGATATGCCTTCAAAGGTGAAAACTCAGCTCTACTCTCATGCATATAAGGTATGTGAAAATTTTGTAGAGATATTTGGTGGGAAGGTGGCAGTCATTGGGATAGAGAGAGGATGTACAACAGAGTTTTTTGTTTGTTTTGGTACTGGGGATTGAACCCATGAGTGCTTTACCTCTGAGCACATCCCCAGCCCTTTTTATTTTTTATTTTGAGACAGGGTCTCACTAAGTTGCTTAGGGTCTCATTAAGTTGCTGAGGCTGGCCTTGAACTATCAATCCTCCTGTCTCAGCCTCTGAAATGGCTGGGATTACAGGCATGTGCCACCATGCCCAGCAATGCCAGAATTTGTATTCTTTTGTTTCAAACTTTAGTTTGGGCATTATAAAACATCATATATAGGAAAATAACTCAATTGTATCATAAACAATGTTCATGATGGAGAGTAGACAAAATACTCCCACCAAGATGTCTGTAGCCTAATGTCCAGAACCTGTGACTATGTTACCTTACGTGGTAAAAGAGACTTTGTAGATGAGATTTAAGTTAAGGGTCTTGAAATGGAAGATTATCTTGGATTATTCAGGTAGGCCTGATATGATCACAGGGGTCTTATAAAAAGGAGACAGGAAGGTCAGAGTCAGAGGAGATGCAACGCAGAAGCAGAGGTCACAGAGGGAGAGATTTGAAGACGCTACACCATTGGCCCTGAAGATGGAGGAAGGGGCTGCAGATTAAGAAGTACAGAGGGATGGGAGGGAAAGGGAGGGGGAAGGAGATTAGCAAGGATGGTGGAATGTGATGGTCATCATTATACAAAGTACATGTATGAAGACTTGAATTGGGTATCAATATACCTTATATACAAACAGAGATATGAAAAATTGTAGTATATATATATGTATTAAGAATTGTAATGCAAAAAAAGTACATGTATAAATGGCATAAATTGGTGTGAACATACTTCATATTCAGAGGTATGAAAAATTGTGCTCTATATGTATAATAAGGATTGTAATGCATTCCTCTGTTGTCATATATTTAAAAAATAATAATAAAAAGTGCAGAATGCCTCTGGAAGTTGGAAAATGTAGGGAAACAGATCCCTCACTAGGTCCTCCAGAAGAAATTCAACCCTGCTGATTTTACAGCTTCTCACCACCAGAAGTGCAAGATAACAAATATGTGTTTTAAGTTACTGTGTGCATAAGTTGTTATTGCAGCAATAGGAAACTATTATAATGGCTTCATTAAAAAAAAAAAAAAAAACCTTCTGACAGGTTATCCTCTTTATAAAAGTCTTGACACTGTCTATACCTGGAATGATAGGGCCAATGGTCAGTAATTATTTGGGCTGTGGGGGAGGGGTGGAGTTCAATATCTTTAGCCATCAGGGAAATGCAAATCAAAACTACATTGAGAGTCCAATTTACCTGAGATGGGTATCTCCTATGTCTCAGAACGGCAATCATCAAGAATATAAAAAACAGGCACACAACTGTAATCCCAGCAACTCAGAAAGCTAACACAGGAGGATCACAAGTTCAAGGCCAGCCTAAACAACTTCGTGAAAACTTGTCTCAAAATTAAAATAATAAAGTAAAAAGGACTGGGGATGTGGCTCAGTGGTGAAGCACCCCTGGTAACCCACCCCCCAAAAAAATATCCGGAACCTGTGACTATGTTACCTTACATGGTAAATAGTAAATGCTAGTAAGGATATAGGGAAAAAAGAAGCCCTTATACAATGTTGGTGGGAAAGTAAATTAATATAACCACTATGGAAATCAGTATGGAGATTCCTCAAAAAACTAAAAATGGAACTATTGTATGATTGAGCTATACTGCTTCTTGGTATAGTCAAAGGAATTAAAGTCAGCATACTATAGAGATACCTGCATACCCATGTTTATTGCAGAACAATTTGCAACAGCCAAATTAAGGAAATAGCCTAGGTGCCTGTCAACAGATTAATGGATAAAGAAAATGTGGTATATATACACAATGGAATTTCATTCAGCCATGAAGAATAAAATCATATCATTTTTTTTCCAGTTACCTTGGAATTTATTTAAACTAAGAGAAAAAGGTCATAATGTTTTCATGCAATACACACTTGGTTATTTAAATAACAATTGTGACAAATAGCAGAAAGAATTAAGGAATGCTGCACTGATGATCCATACAAAACACCAACATTTCAGGTTGTACATAATTAAAGAAATATCTTACTTTTCGAAATACTGTAATAGCCAATACACAGAGGCATGCCTTAGGTGGGCATAGGAATGCAGTTTTAAAAAGGAAAAAAAAAATCACACTGGAACTACTCAATTTCTTTTAAACACTGAGCAAGAAAAGCAACATTGAACTTCCATACTGATTTTACACAATTTCTATACAGTACCTTGACTTAAATCCAAGAGCAAAAGTTAAAACTCTCCTCCTCTATTTTTGGTAAACAACTGCATGGTAAACTTAGATGACTTTTCCCCCTGGATTTTACCTGGAAGTGGCCTTTTTAATATTTTATTTAAAAGAGGGCAGGTTTGGCACTTTTATACTGATGTCACCAATGTTAATATTTCTTGGGATCTCAGGAAGATTCATATTCTTTACAGCTGATACAGCATGGGCTGGAGCTCCTGCTAAGCCAGCCTCAGATTTCTCCAATTTATTTTGTGCATCAGTTTGTGTAACAATCTCATTCATGTTGGTCTCCAATACCATTCCCCCCATCACCATTTCTGCAAGAATATTGTGAACCTTGTCTACATGGAAAATTAAATCCAGTTCACACACATTTTCAAAACATTTGTCTAAGGTTTCCACGAATACTTGAATTAGATCTAAAATGCCAAGTTCACTTTCTGAAGAATCCATACAGAAGACAAAATATAGGGTCGCATAATGTCTATAAATCAGTTTGTTGTCAGATCCTCCAATTAATAATCCTCCTTCTAGGAAATTACAAACATTTTCATCTCTCTTAGATACCAAATGGAAAGTCTCCCGGATGATTTGCTGTTGTGTATCTTCACTGTAGGGCTGGTAGAACTTGGAGAGCCGCGGCTTCCCGTGGTTGTTGAAGATGAGGATCGCCTTATCATGGCTGGGCCGGGCGACTGGGTGGGCGCGGGCACGCGAGCCTCGCCTGGGGATCTTGCCAGCGATCCTTCCCCACCCGCCCCCTCCCGCACGCGCTCGCGCGCGCTCCCGAGCCCAAAATCATATCATTTTTAGGAAAATGTATAGAACTGAAGATCATCATGTTAAGCAAAATAAGCCATGCTCAAAAAGACAAGTTTCACATGTTTTAAAGAGGACTTGAAAGTAGAAGGGAGATGATTAGAGAAGAAGAGGAACTTGAAAGGAGGGAAGGAAAGATAAGAGGGGTAGTTGGGAGTAGAAATGACCAAAGTATGTAATATGCATGTGAATATGACACAATCAAACCCATTGTCCTGTATAATCAATATATGCTATTTAAAAGATGATATAGCCATGGCTGGTTGAGATTTTAAGAGTAAAGGTAAAAGGTCACAGAGAGAGGCCCTGTCTTCTAACTGGCCACAGGAAGCTGAATGAACCTTCCCAAGGTACACTGAGGCTTCTGCGCAAATTGTCCTTCTCTGCTGGGAAATGGAACACAGAAAGGAGGCTTGCTATGGCACTATTTTAACAAGTTTCTGCTTTTCTGTTATTTATAGCAATGGGCTCTTTCAACTCCTTCAGATTTAGTCTTGGGGTCTTATATAAGAAACAAATATCCTGACAAGGACCTATGAAGACAGAGCTCAGGACCTATGTGTTTGAGCAAGTCTAGAGAGACTCTCTCTAGACTGCCATGGATCTGCTTAGCCAGGGCATTTGCTTGTGCTGAGTCAAAAATAACATGGCATCCAATAAGTATGACTAATTTCACTACTAAATTCTCATTATTGGTTCATTGTTTATTCATGTATTCCTTCACTCACAAAGCATTTATTGAGCACCAACTCCATACCACATACTATGTTGGAGATAATTGACCTTGTTCCAATTATCAAAAAAGTAGCAGGCTGAAGAGGGAGACAGATGATCAAGTCCTCAGTCACAGTTCACTCTTGTAAGTGCTGTGAGAGGCCTGCCGAGGTTCTGTGGGAACAGAGAGCCCAAGCTGGGAGGAAAGAAGAGAGCCTTCCAGAAGAGATGCCACTAGATGTCCTTGAAATATCAGAAAGAGCTGGCAAGAAAGATGGTGGGGCAAGGAAGTGAGAGAGGAGGGGAGAGCAGTCCATAAAGGAAGACACCCAGGGAGCAAAGGCAGGATCCTCCAGGGAATCCCCCTGGAGGACAGGAAGGGAGTTGGTTATAGGGAGTGGCACACTGGAATTCTGTCTGGTAGATGGGAGGTCTAGGTTCTCCATCCTCCCTGCCATTAATTGTTAACTGTGAGTCAGTTAACCTTCCCAGGCTTTGATTTTTTCCTTTAACAAATTATGGGCTTCTGGGGGCTGCAGTTGTGGCTCAGTGGTAAAGTGCTTGCCTAGCATGTGTGAGGCACTGGGTTTGATTCTCAGCACTGCATATAAATAAATGAATAAAATAAAGGTCTGTCAAAATCTAAAGAAAGTTTTTGAAAAATATAGTCTTTAAACTTCAAAAGATTAGCTCTTAACCAGATGTGGTGACACACACCTAAAATCCCACAATTTGTGAGGCTGAGGCAGGAAATTGCAACTTTGAGGCCAGCCTCAGCAACTTAATGAGATGCTACCTCAAAAAAGAGAGAGAGAGAGAAAATAGGACTGGGGATATAGCTTAGTGGTTAAGTGCCCCTAGGTTCAATCCCCAATACCACACACATACAAAAATAAGATCAGCTCTTGTACCTTTGAATGTATCATATTCTATTCATCTCTCATACCCTGTAACACTATGAAAAATAAACAGTATTTATTTGGGAGAGCTAGGTGTTGTAGCACAGGCCTATAATCCCAGTGACTCTGAAGGTTGAGGCAGAAGTATCACACGTTAGAGGCCAGCCTCAGCAACTTAGTGAGGCCCTAAGCAACTTAGCAGGAACCTGTCTCAAAATAAAAACTAAAATGGGCTGGGGACGTGACTCAGTGGTTAATTCCTGATACCAAAAAAAAAAAAAAAAAAAAAAAAAAGCAGTATTTACTAGGGAGAAAACTGAGAATTATTAATATTTTGTTTTTATTTTCTTATCAGAGATCTCTTCCATGGTCAGTTGCTAGACCACCTAAAGCTCATTTGTGGATTTTTTTTCCCCCTTTGGACAATAAGCTTTGTTTTTTTCAGTGAACACAGACTATCGGTATCTCCTGTGACTACAGATGTGTGATAATTCTTACAAGACAATTGAGGGCAATTATTTGGTGGATCAACACAAACCCACCCCTATTACTGGTTTTTCTAGAATATTGTTAGGTGTAAAGGATATTTTTGTTGTCATTTACATCATCTAGCTCAGTAGTTTAAACAGAATATTAAGTTCAGGGATGGTAAAGAAGCATGGAATAGCCAGCTCCTCAGGAACAAATTGGTTAAGTTGAAAATGTTTCCAATTAATGGGACAAGTCTATTAAAACAATGTCATAGTAGCACACTTGGAAAAGGAAATATAATTCCAATTCCACATCATGAAACATGATTGGCTTCTTAAGACTTGACATTTGTGACTTACTAGGTCATCCAAATCAAATTGAAGATGCATCAGTCATAATGTAGATTCTTCAATACCTAAAGACTATATAGGAGGTAGGTCACTTGAGCCTCTGATTCTCTTGAGCAATTCAGGAAATTAAGGCTTCTTGAAGCACTGTCTCTCTTTTGGACTCCAGAATCTCAATAGGTTTTTGAATCTCAATAGGTTCCTGAGCACCTACTTGATGTGAGCAGCATGCTATACACTTTATATACATTCCTCAGAGGGAAGCTCAGAAAAAGCAACTGAAAGAGAAAAGGAGATTATGAGAGAGGGCAGAGAAAAATTGAATGTTTTACCAAAGGAATAAAAATGTAGGAGGCAGACTTTATAGCGTTGATATATATTAAAGCATGTGGGGACTCTCCTATTTCATTGTGTTGTGGGGGATTGAACCCATGCTAGGCAAGTGCTCTATCACTGAACTACACCGCCACCCCCACTTCCTATTTCATAAAAATAAGGGAACTGAGGGGGAAGTTGCTGTAAAAGGCAACTTGAAGATGGAAGGTTTATTAAGTATCAAAATGACATATCAAACATGGATTTTTAACAAGGATGCTGTTTTGAAATAGGTATGGATTTGTCTTCTCTGGAGTAGGAGTTTGAGAAATAAATAATATAATTGGTCTGTTTCAGCAAAATGACGTTTTGAATGCAATTCTAATTCAAAAAGCACTTGTCCCATAGAAAGCGTTATTGCTATTCTGTGCTCAGAGAATCTACAGGAAAACTCCTGGGAATCCAGCTGTAACTTGACAGTCCCCAGGAAGGCTGTGAAATTCCCAAAGAAGCAAGCATAACACTACATTTAGCAGATTTGTATTACCTTTTTATTTATTTATTAAATTTTAATGTGTTTCCTCTGGAAAACTCAATATTGAAAATTCTAACTATATTCAATTGATACTGTCTCTGATGTTGGAAAATCAAAATTTGAAATTTTTGTGGGCAAATTTTAACTATCAAAAATATAAGCTATAGGATAACTGAAAATTTTTGCTATCTTGCTTTAAGGATATCTCTTAAATTCTGTTATGCTTAACCTACCTGATGATAGAATTGTTTGGATTGTTTTGTTATTGCTATTATTACTGTTGTGTTCAATGCAGAGAGAAATTCTTTTAAATAATATGGGACAGAATTTAAATTCCTTCAAGTTCTTTTTCCACACAGTCTTCTAAAGAAAGTTGTCATTTTTTCCCCCCTCTAACAGCTAAATTTAGAGTTTCAACTTCTCTGCCTGTTGAGTAAATAGCTTGCCACAATTTAGACCTAAATCCCTTTCCCAGAAATCTTTCTGGAGGAAGAGCATTTTGTCCTGACACAGTGTGTCTCGGATTCCTTCTGCAACATCCAAAAACCCCAGAAGCAGTTTTAGATGAAGCATATTTGCCTCCCGCTACTGTTATAATTACAGTAACATTGTTGCATTTTCTGCATGGCCTAGCAACAATTTGATTTTACTGTAGGCTGCTTGGATTTTTTTTTTTTCTTAATTCCTTTATGTTTTATGGTTTTGGGGGGAAAAAAAAGTCAAGGAATAACAATGGAATACCAACATTTTTCAATTTTCCAGCTTTATAAGGAGATTGTCTATTTACAAAAGGAACACCCAGTGAATTGGCACAAGAACTACGCCCTCGCTTGTGAGCGGATGCTTCGTCTTCAGGAGAGAGACATAGACGCTGAAGTCCTGTTGTCTGAAACCATCAGACATTTCCGTCTATATACTCAGAAAGCACAGAATGATCCCCAGCTAGCTGATATTTTAGTTGCTCTCAAGCACTTAAGAAAAGAACTGCAAGGTCTGAGAAATATGAAAAATGTGTGATACAGCAAAATGGGAAAAACCTGCTCAACTTTCAGCTTCCAAAATTCTGAAGTCCAAAAGTTTTCCTTCAAGAAAACTGCATAAGAAATGGAAAACTTAGTGATTTTTCAGATCCAAGTAATAATGGTACAACAATATTGCTTAATGAATGTTTAATTATTGAGATGTGTGCTATTTATGCAAAATTATATTTATCCCTTGTTACCAAATTAGCATATCCATGAGAAGCTTTTGAAAATTTTTTTCAAAAATCTTCAACAACCTTATACCAAACGACTGTACTTGATTCAGTGAAATTCTAGAAGATAATGAACTACTTTCATAGACCTAAAATATCAACCATGAATCTTTAAAGGGCCATGTTTGTCTATTCATACCAGACCAAAGACATTTTCTGTTTTCTGAAAATGAAATAGTTTTTTTAAAGGAATGGATCTCTCTATGCTCTAAATTACAATTCCTTTTTCTTTAAGTAACTATGGTTGTTGTGTAATCATATTACAAGCTACACAGCAAGTAGGTATATTTTGAGAAACCTTTGAGTTTTATTGTTATAAGACAATAGTTTTCTGAAATCACGAATTTGAGTTAATTTAGTGTTTGCTTATTTCAGTTACAGAAACCAAATGGCAAGTAAAAAGGATTTTACATTTACATAATTAATTTTATATTTATGTTTTACTTCTATTTGTACTTACAGATATAGGCCCAATAATTAGGGGTTCCTGCTGCCCAATGCAGGGGGGAATAAAAAGGTTAGGGATTGGTTTAGGGGGATGGGAAAGTTCAATAAATTCATTTCTGTTACAAGCATCTTTTATACATATTACTAAAGAGAACAGAGTAAGAAATGCAAATAATAGTTCTTTATTTTATTATGACAGTTAATTAATAGCAACCTGTTTTAATGAATAAAGTCACTCAGAGTCCTTCAGCACTTCCTAAGTAGAGGCCAGAATCTGTAGGGATTCTTTTCCCCCCAATTGTAGAGCTCCTAGACTCCAAGCACTATATAGGCCCCTGTATAGAAATGCTCACTAATGAAGAGGGAGGGCTAGAAGCTTGTCTGCATTCAAAGATCACTGGTGAGTCATTCAGCAAGAAAAGGCCCCTTACCAGGAATAGTCACAGTTCCGTGGCATTGTACTAGCAAAAGGGTCTGATCAAAGGTCTCCTGTGGAGCTTGCATGGTTCCCTTTCATACTACGACCATAATTAAAACCACTAATTCTCTTTTAAAATGCTGCAGGATGCCATGTAGGCATCTGTCTGGAGTGTCCTTTGTGATGTCATAAGCTGTTAAGGACCAGCGCCGAGGGCTTTTGAGCGAAATGCCAGTCATGAAGGTGCTTCAAGACAAGGGTGCCTCTAAAAGCTTGACAGGGCCTTGACTGCACAATTCGAGCTGAATTTGCCCCTTGTCAGCTGCCAGTAAATAAATCTCAAAGGGGGAAAAGCTGAAGTTTCATTACCTGATCCATGGGGCTTTGTTGGTTTTGGCATCACACAGGGGAAGCTCTTGCCCCGCCATTCTCTGGATTTGAAGATGTCCATTGGAGCCTGCAGTGCCTGGACAGGGTTCAGAGCGGAACCTTTTGAAGAGTGTCAATAGTTGTAACAGTTCAGCTGTTAGGAAGACAAATAAATGGAGGAGCTCATTAATCCTCTTTTGGCTCTCAGTGCCTTTTGCCCTTTTATCACAGCCTTATTAGGCTCCTACTCATCTTGAACCAGAAAAAAATGAATTGAAGTTGTTGAGTACTAATTGGCAAAGACTTTTAATCATGGGCCAAGAACTTTCACTGACTTGAAAGTAACTTCTCCACAGGGAAGAGCCAAAAACCTGGTTTACCTTAAAACAAAAACCTGTTGGAGTTCAGTGTGGTGTAAAAATTTAGGGAAGCACTGATAAATTGTGTAAGTTTATCCACCTGAAAGAAATTATATAAGATTATGATTTTCAATTTTAAGGGGGAAAAGTATAAAAAAATGCATTGTCTTTTTTGGTTCAGAAAAGGGACTGCATGCCTAGTGCAGTGACTGTTTGCTTCTGAGCATCTTCACATAAGTATGAATGTTCATCTGAGCAGCTACCAACAGATCATGTTGGAGAAACCTTATTAAAAGTTATATTCTATAAATAACCTTGAGAGTAGCAGTGAAGACATATTTTTGATAATACATATATATGTAACTCTGTACTAATATGTTTCATTAATTGTTGAATCATACACAGATTATTCTGTATTTGTGGAGCAGGAGTTTTGGACCACTTTTGCTTTGAGAATGCAATAATATATGGCCCAAAGTAGATAGAATCATGATTATTTAAAACTCTAAAAAACCATTGGTAAGTGTAAAAAATGTAAACTGAGCTGAGATCTAGGGATGTTGGACTTCATTTCCAGATCAACTACACTGAAGAATTCTTTCCTGTCTATTGTGTGAGTCTGAACAAGTGGCTTTTTTTTTTCCTTAACTTTCCTTGGGTAGTGCACAACACCATAAAATCTGGTAGAATGGGTTTCTTTTAGTGTAACCCCTGCCCCATATTGAAGAGGATGTGAAGGAGATGGCTTCTCATGCAGGATTTGGCCGGCATTCTCTAGAAGTGTCCCAGGAGTGCTGTGGGTTGGCAGGATGACAGGAACCCCACAAGGCCAACTTCTGCCTGGACTTTGGCCTGAAGAGCAAGTGGGAGCCAGCAAAACTGTCTGCCTCTCCACATGCTGCAGCGCTCTTCTGCCTGGCACCAAGGCTGTCACACACCAGAGGGCAAGTGGAGAGAAGGACATTGTGGCTTCCGTGCTGCCTGATAACCTACCAAGTGTGTTCGACTCCCCATCCTTTCCTGTTCCCTCTGGTGGGAGTATGCATGGTTCTTGTTCTCTTTCCTTTTTTCTTTGTTTTTTCAAAAGAATCCATTTTTTTAAAATACTTTTCTTCTATTAGTCAAAATGCAGCTAAAATAGAAGGAAATTGATTGCTAGTGTACTATTTTAAAAACTTACAATAGAAATTTTGAAGTGTTATTTCTGCCCATATTCTTAGTGTTTTCCAATATGTAACCATGATGTTTAGCCTTTATCATATTAAAGCCTATTTGAGTGTTAAAAGTTATTGTTAGGATACCCTGCTAATAACTTGAAGTCATCAGGCTAGGATATGAAGAATAGATGTTTTAATTCATGTTTTAAATGTTAAACATTGTGAGTCTTTCATCATAATTCTCATCAATATCCTTCAGAAGTTAATAATTTAATGCTTTTAATAATCAGAAATTTTAATAAAGATTATTAAAAATGAATCATTTTACATCAAGACCTTTTACTCTCTTTTACTTTTGGTATATTTTATAAGTACACCAACATAAGGTGCTACTTAAAATTCTGTTCTAACTGGCTCCAACACCTATGGTTAGGGAAATTTAGAAAACAGTTCAGCCCAGTAAGAGATTCGCACTGCTACTTTGTCCTCAAATTTTGTTATGGATGCAAAACCATTGTAAAGCTTATACTCACAAACAAATGATGTTTCCAGGGATTTTGGGAACATCTAAAGGCCAAGATCTTGGCACAGTATTACAGAGCAAACAAGGAGCTAAAGCTTAGCAGTGATCATGCTCAATGAAGATGTCGTTTTCAGTACCTTCTAAAGGTCTGTTTGATTTGGATCAGCATGGATGATATTTTTAAAAGCCCCAGGAATAGCACAGTATGCTCACCTGGATATGGAAAGTAAACTAACAGAAATATATCTTGAAAGTTTTTTTTCCCCCTCTTCAGAAAATAAGAAATCTGGTAGCTCTTCAATAATGTAACATATATTTGGTAGAAATTGTTATGCACTGAAAAGATTAGCTTATGTTATATTGGGGGTGGGTAGCAATGGTTGCAAAGCAGATGGAGGTTCCAAAACTCTAAATGTGAAACCAGCAATTGTTGGCCTGTAAGTATAGTTCTTTGGCTCTTTTTTGAAGATTCAAAGTGTTATGGACAAAAGTTATTTTTTTTGTCATATGATATTATGATGATTTTTTAAAAGTTGAGTTGATGAGGTTGAGAAGTTTTAAGATAAAAGTCAAGTACACAAATGCAAATAATTGGGCCATTACTCCTATCCCAGTGATCCAACTTCACAGACCAACCAAATAATCTCAAGACATTTTATACCTAGTTGCAAAATGTGACAATAATATTGTTAAATTAAGGTTCAATAAAAGATAGAGAAAAACAAGCCAAAGTTAGGAGTTTTCATAAACTTAATTATTTGGAATTTGTTATGTCTACTGTAAGTCAGGTGGGGTGGCACATGCCTGTAACCCCAGCTATTTGAAGGCTGAGGCAGGAGCATCCCAAGTTCAAGGCTATCCTGGCAACTTAGTGAGACCCTATCAAAATTAAAGAACAAGGGCTGGGAATGTAGCTCAGTAGTAGAGTGCCCCTGGATTCAAACCCCAGTATTAATTAATTAATTAATTGCTGGTGTAAGTTGTATTAGTAGAAGAAAAAGTACAATAGATGGAAAAGAAATACAATCTTTTATATTAAGTTCATTATAAGTTACATGTTATAAACTAATAAATAGAGATTGTGAATTATGTCCTGCTGTTAAAAGAAAACCACCATAATCATCTTCTATTTAGAAGTGTTAACTGAAAGGGGGTTGTTTTGTAATGTAACCTTTTAAAAAAGATATAAAGATATTTGAGATTTCTCTGAAATAGTCCCTTACGTAGTTGAACCATTGGAAATATCCTTAATACTTGTGGTTATTTCTTATATGCAAAAAGTATATATGCTTAAAACCAAAATGCACACAGTGCTGGGGGAATGAGACACCAGGCCTCATTCTTGGTTGAATCACCCATTATCCCAGGACCATGAACATCATGTAGGTGTAAGTCAGGAATTCTCTGGGAAATCCTGGTATACTAAGACTTGAACCCCGAACTGCAATAGTGTACCCATGGAGGATTTTGAGAAGAGGATAAAAAATACAAGGACTAGAATCTTCTTATAGTGTCTTCCCTCAAATAGGTTTTGAAAGTGAAAGGCAAATATAATTGTGTTATTAGTAGTACTTTTAAACATAAATGTAAATAAATTAAGGACTCTTTTCAATTATTCTAGCAAAAACTACAGAAAATTTCAAAGGAATTGTTTAAAAGCAGAAGTGATCAATTCATCAAAAAACTAAGAGTACTTTGAGTAAAGAGTTGAAAGCCAGACAAGCAGGTAAAAGGAATTAAAAAGAAAAAAAAAAAGTTTGCTTACAGAATAATGAAAAGCTGAAGTTCAATTGTGCAGAGCTTAAAATTGGTCAGTTCACTGGAGAGTACTTGTATTTAGCATCATATTTATTTAATATGTCATATTGTTTTGCCACATTTATAGGGTGTTTATTCAATCAATGGACTGGTATTTATACAGCTATTATTCTTCCAATGATCAAAATTAACATATCCATTAACATATGCATTTACCTGTGTTCACCAGGACGCAGTTCCTAATTATGCAGAATTGTGCCCACTGGAGTGAATGTCAAACTGTGGGTCACAAAGTTCATTTAACAAGAATTGATCAACTTTCCCTCCCTGCCACTTCTTCTTGTACGTGGGATTGAACCCAAGGGCACTATACCACTGAGCCACACCCTAGCCCTTTGGTTTTTAATTTTGAGACACTAAATTGCTAAGGGCCTCACTAAGTTGCTGAGGCTGGCCTTCAATTTGCGATCCTCCTGCTTCATATCCTTTCAAGTAGCTGGGATTACAGGCTACTAACCACTCCAGTACCTGGTCAAGTGGTGGTACCTGGCCTGACCAGCTTTTTCTTAATGAAACAGAATTTAAAATATTATAAAGCATCTGAGCTAAAACAAGGGTTAAGCATCATTTCATGAAACTGTTTCATTTCATGTAGGTGTATGTACATGTATTTACAGCAAATATGCTATATATGTGTGTGTATGTATGTAACTTTACATATACATTTAAAGTGTATGTACTGAATCACAATGTACTCATTTTGGGACAGTAAAAAATAAATTTGAGGGATTGGATTGTGGCTCAGCGGTAGAGCACTTGCCTAGCATGTGCAAGGCCCTGGGTTCGATCCTCAGCACCACATAAAAATAAATAAATAAAAATAAAGATATTGTGTCCAACTACAACTAAAACATATTTTTTAAAAAGAAAAAAATAAAAATAAATTTGAAAGCCATTGGCTTAGGAAAACAATTTCAAAGGAGTTAGTAAGAGATCATCTAGTATTAGCTATCACAACTAATCTAATTTAATAAATGAAAATGAAAGCTATAGTAAATAAGTGGCTTATGTTCTACACCAAGGTAGTGGTGGAACTGGAACTAGTATTTGAGCTTCTAGGGTTAGCCTGGTGTGCTTTCCCATGTCCATCACAGTTTGATGAAACCAGCGGCATCCCATCATCAACTCTGTGGAACACTGAAGTCCTCAAATAATCCAGCCACTTTTAAATTATGATAAACTTTTCTAGAGGTAAATGGTGTGTAACAACAAGAACTCTGTCACAGGAAGTTGTTTAAAATGTTATATGCTGAACTTCTTTCTCCCCCTCTTCCAATCTTCCAGAATAGAATTTTTTCCTCTTTCCTTTTTAGATAGGGCCAATTGTTCCCCTGGCTTTTGACTGAGAATTTCCACTCCCATTCTGGATTTAGGAGTATATACTCAAATTAAAGGACTTTAGTGTGATAAGAAAACAGTCACTTTGAAATCCAGGAACTTATTAACCTAAGCACATTCCAGCTGAATCAGCTGTTGGAAGCTCCTTCTGAGAAAGGTTATGCCAGTTTATGTTATTTCTTTCCCTTCCTAATCCAGTTCAAAACACAGTCCTATTTCCGTTTTGCAGAAGAACATGTGCCACTCCATTGGAATGTTTTTGAGTTGGAAATTTCTGCCCTCCAGAAGATTAGAACGCCTCAAGTTGGTGCTCACCACTGTTCCATTCGGTTTAGCTACTTTATTTAAAACACAAAGGATCCAGTGGCAGAGATCTCTTTGAAGACCTAAGTGTTTGGTTTCCTAATTATGAACCAATTCTGTGTGTAGGTAATAATAATTCCTTCCCAGTTCGCCTCTTGAGTCCTATGTATGATTTCTAAAAAGATATAATACTAGTAATAATAATCACTATGATAACAATCTTAGTGACATTTGTCATCCGTTGAATTGCTTTAGTTGTTTGAAATGACCTATTTTATTTTGTTTCATTTACTATCTTTGTGAGGCAAGAAAATTTGGTGTCTCATTGAAACAAACACCTCTCCCCACCCAAACTAGGCCTTTTGCACATTTGGTAAAGATATACAGATGGCTACTTCACTGTGTTAGCATTTAATAGTTAGCATGTAAGAGGACTTCTTTACATGTTCCCTGTCGAACACATAAATAGTTGATTTAAAGAGCTTCAACCAGCCAGGTGTGGTGGTGCTCACCTGTAATCCCAGCAACTCAGGAAGTTTAGGCAGGAGGATCACAAGTTTGAGGTCAGCCTTAGCAACTTAGCAATACCATTTCAAAATAAAGAATAAAAAGGGCTGAGGATGTAGCTCAGTGGTAGAAAGCCCAGTACTGAAAAAATGAATAAATAAATAAAAATAAAGACTCTAAGCCTGTTGAATACTATGAGTTAATTTGTACTGTATAAAGGTGTGAATCTATGCAATAAATAAAGAGCTCTTTATCAAAGCAATCTTCTGAGATCTCATAATAATGGTGTTATATTGTCATGTGAAACGTGATCTGCTTAAAATTTTGGCAAAATAGAGATTCCACATGTCTTTGTATTAGAGTGCACCTGGATTGAATAAGTACCTCCGCAAGCAACTGCTCTCACCCCTTCAGGCTCCCATAGCCACATTCAGTCACTCTGGCCCCTTCTCTGTAGAATGGGGATATGATAAATAGGCTTGTTTCATGGTGGGGCTATAAAGGTGAAACACTGATATTTATAAAGTGCTTCGAACAGTTCTAGTATACAACAATTGTTCAGTATTGGCTCTTTTCATTAATATGTCAATTTAAAAGGTTCTTATTTACTTTGCACTTCTTAGTAAAATAAATCCTCAAAGTTTTCTCGTCCTTTGCATCTCATGTTTAAAAATGTCCTCGCTAAATGTGCATCTGGAAATTTAAAAAAAAAATTAATTACAATGATATTGATAAACAATGTGTTATTTAAATTATGTGGGTAACTGGCAAATATAAGAGAGTAATCAAAAAGCACTGAGTCAATGAAGAAATGAAATCAATTTCATCAG